AATGGTAATGGTGATGATGCCAGAGGTCCGGTGCTGATGTCACTGTGGAAATGGCTTTATTATTTTATTTTTATGTACATTGCATTTGCTCCGTCTGATTCCCATTCCCATTCCCATTGTCTTGTTAGGCCCCAAAGTTTCCAACCAAAAAAAAATAAAAAAACTTGGCTGCATCTTGATTCAGTTTTAGGCTAACCTATTTTTAGTCGCTTGTTTGGCATGAAATAGGTATCTCAAGGGACGACGGTCTGTGCTATTTTCGTATAATTTTCTCGCCCTGCTTTCTGGTTTATTTTCAAATTTAGCTGCGTTTTTCTTTTTAGTTATTTTATTTTTCTTATTCGTTTGGCTCTACTCGAACTTGTCTTGTCACGTCGAGAAATGCGATTAAAAATAGAGTTTTTAGAGTTTTCTGGGATTTTCAGCTGTTGCGTTTGGCTTCGTTTTTCTGGGATTTCGATGTGCAACACATGGATTCATTTGTATATTTTCAAAATACATGAAAAATGTACAAGAACTGAATTTATGGGGATTGTGGTTTTAATTAGGAGGAATTATATGTATTTTAAAAATGTTTGAGAAAACATTTAGGTTTAGCTAAATAAATTGATCATTATTTATTTAGGTTAGTCGGAAAAATGTGTAATGGTTTTTCTCCCACAATAAAAATGATTAATTACCTCTAATAAATCTTTGCAACTATACATAGATCATCATAGACTCAAGCTGATGGATATTTTAAGGTTATTTCAACTTGATTTCATTGAATGGCAAAATCTGTCTTCAATATAAAGTGCTTTAAATAAAACTTGTAATCCCCTGTCATGTTTAAGGTGCTATAACTTTAATCTATTTGACAGAATTCATTTAACAGTATTATATAATACAACAAATCTCCGGCCAATAAAATCTGATGAAAGGAATCTTGAAATTCCACATTTTAAATTTTGATCAAAATGTTTGTTAATTTATTCGTTTCTGCTGCAAATATATATTTTACAATAAACGTTTTGCCGAACACCCACGCGCCTCCACAAAATGGGAAACATATGAGAAATTTACATATATCTGGTTGAATACGTAGATGTATAATTGCTATAAATAGGGAATTCTCGAAACTAATTTTATCATTTTTCGCACATAGAAATCGGGCATGGATGATGATATCTCGACATATGCAAATGCCTCAATTCAAACAAATCAAAAATGTTGACAGTTGCCCAGTTCTCCTTTCGTTTTTTTTTGTATTTTTAATTGCTTTTCTACTTTTTCGAGATCTGGTCGTATGTGAGCACTCAAATATTTTATGGCTAATAGTTTATATCGTTTACATAGCTAATTTTTGTGCAAATAAACTTTCTTGGCTGATCTTAAAAGGAATTCATATTTCTTTAATTGCCTCTTGAACTGACTAAGGCCTCAAAAGCGAAAAAATATGTATTTGGCTTCTTCCCGATAGATGAATTTCTGTTTAGAGAATCGATTGTGATGCCTTGAAGTCAATATTTGAAGACCAAGAAGCTCTGTTCGTTTGCCTTGCCATTAAACTGAGCTACTTTATGGTTAGGTGTGAAATAAATGAGGAAACATCAAATATATCTTGAGAAGAGAAAAAGAAATAGCATTGAAAGTGCTGAAAATCGAATATTTCGAGAGCGGAAACCAATGTTTATGCGAAATAATGTTTGCCCAAAAGTCGAATTGACTGCTGGAGATGTGGATATAAATATAGATGGTCTAAAATTAGGAATCGTATATATGTACTACATAAGCAACTGGATCATGAGTCTATATTCTATATTCATTTGGCCAAAGGAAACTAGATAAAGAAATTTTTGTATAAATACTCAAAAGTCTTGCGGATGCGTAATTCTCCATTTAATGGTAACAAATCATGTGATGATTTCTGATCAAAGTGGATATACCATCTATAATTAATCATAGGAAATTCCGCTCTTTATAATTTCTTGTTTTTTTAATGGCAAACCATGTCTTTACATATCTAAGTTACAACCGAGTTACTCATGGCCTTTCAAGTGGCTGCCACTTAACAATTTTACAACCCGCACAGTGGCTCACACTCGTGGAAGCTCGTAAACAAAATTATGCTATAAAATAAAATTGAACATGTGAATTCTCTCAAGAAGGCGCCACTTTGTTGCCTTTTCGGAGACCAGCTGCTATTGCCACCAATGTTTACTTTGGTTTTATAGATGTTTCTTACATTTTCGAATTTTACATGATATTTCAAGTGGTGGTGGAGTGTGTGGATCTTAAGTTTTGGTCATTACAATAAGTTACCAATTAATAATAGAAAAAATGATTTAAGGCTTTTCATTAGCAGAACATTCAAAGGGGTAATAGCACTTATAAAGCTAAAAAAAGATTTATTTTAAGATCTTAAAAGGAATTTAAAATTTGGAATACAAAAAAGGTATACCTATTTTAAGATTCTAAATAAATAATATGAAACTATAAAATTCAAATATTACAGATCAACAAAGTTTGTTTTTTCGGATCCTGAAAAGAATATGCAATTATAGAACTTAAATATTCTAGACCTACAATAACAACTTCACTATGTTTGCAATTAACAATTTTAGGGGCTCTAAAAATTCCATATAAATTGTATTGCTTTCGAATTCATTAAAATCCGCCGACCTTTGTCCGGTTTGAAATTAGAATTTGTCTATGAATAACAAATTCAATTGCGTTGCAAGCAAATTGCTTTAGGCCATTTGAAGTGCAACTTTATATCTCAGGGCCAACTTCTCAGCGTGACAACCAGTGCTGCCATTTTGTCCTTTTTCCGGACAGATCTGTCCTTTTTTTAACGGGTTTATCCGGAAAAAATTTCAAACATCCCCTATCCGGAAATCTGTCCTTTTTTCAAAAATAAGGTTTTGAGTGTTATTTTTGCCAGTCGAAAGTGTGTAAACCTGTTTTTATATGCTAAAACGCCTTTTTAACCATCAATCTTACAGTTCGGCACTTAAAAAATAATTATTTTTACAAATTATCAAAGCAGTCGATGCATTTTCTTTATAGTACGATTTTTTCTGTAGCAAAAAAAAGAGGAAAACACTTTAAAAATTTCTCAACTTTTACTCTCTGCTTTTTTGTCAGAAAAAAATTTCAGATTTTAACGTCTCTTATTCGGGTTTGAGGCAGATATTGAATTTTTTTGTATTACCAATATAGTTACTTGAAATGCTCTTATTATTTTAATAATTTTAGATTATTACGTATACGCACAAAAATTTACCATGGTAAAATGTTCAAACAAAGAAGGATGTGAGTCGGGCGCAGTAGGTCATTACATAATTGAATTTAATATAAAATCCATTTAAATTAAGTAATTATATAACCCATTGGTAAAACAGAAAAATGGAGGCGCATTTACTTTTGTCCCTTTTTTTGTCCTTTTTTAAAATTTTTTGTCCTTTTTTTCCCTGTTTTTTTGGCTTATCTGTCCTGTTTTTCAAGCTGAGTGATGGCAGCACTGGTGACAACAATAAAAATATAGAGAAAAAATTCATATCAGATGCAATGCAATCACCACAGCGTGACGTCATTAGTCTAGTCTGGTTTGAAAAATACACGGCAAACTTGTTTATTTCTTATTTCTGATTATGTAAGCTCGCCAAACACGATGAAAAAACATTTGTTTTGGTTTCGGATTTATGAATGGCTTTCATTAAGTGCCGCTGTAAGTTGAGCTTTGCCATGCGCTGACCCATATTTTTAGGTCTCTCTCAAATGCAGTTTATTTTTTCTTAAATGTTTGTAAAACGATCCAAGTAATCAGGGTAGTTGTTTATAATAATCCATACTTATAGGCATAAGCAACCACCGGCCAAGGGCTGTGTAATTGATATTTTCTCACGCTCCATGATGTCACGCAGTAAAGGTGTAAGGTAAAAGGTTTACGATTACAGGCCAAAGCATTTAAATGCCACCCATTCATGTAGAGGAGGGCAAATCTCTTGGAGAGAGCTTACAAGAAATGGGGAGAGCTGGGTTTCTCAGAGAGACCCGAGAGTAACTGTTCCGCTTATCATTCAACAATTTTACCACCCTATAAAGGGGAACTCTTTTTGCGTCGTTATAAAATTAAAACTTTTTTATTTTTATGGGTTATTTAAAAGGGGAAAACATACAAACCAATAAGCTGTACTTTCATTTTAGGAGAATTAGTGATATTATTAGTGGATAAAAGCTACAGATATTATTTATAATACCTAACAAAAAACTACAGAATCCTTAATTCTATCCTTTAAAAATGTAGAAAACTTTAAAGTAATGAAACAAAATTTTTTTTATGTTTAAATTATTTATGATCTTAACTAACAGACTAGTAAAAATTCTAAACATTAGTTGGGGAAAGGTAAACACAGAACGTTGACCTTGTAAGATCTCGTTTCATTACTTAAAAGTTGGAACCCCAAAAGGTTTCTTCAAAAATCCTCACCCCCCTTAGAAAAAGCCGGCTACTGCGCCACTGACCCTAAATAAAAACAACCAGTCGGTTCAAACTCGGTGAGTACGTGCTGGAGTGGTAAACAACATCCATCAAAAGTCGTACAAAATATTGCGTGTGCTCATCGCGCTCTCTGTCTCAAGTTCTCTCTGGGATATTTAGTATCTCTCTCGATTTTAGAAATACCAACACACATCGGTGAGCACAGACTCTGGAAACATGAGCTTTACTACGATTACTATATACGCCGAGCTCTTCTCTCACGACTTTTTTTTTTTGGACTGGACAAGGCGTAGCATATTGAACGCTTTTTGGTTTGGGTTTGGGCTCAGTATTCAGTATCGAACCGGCTTTCTACGACAGCGGATTGGAATCGCGGAGCGACAAAGTCGCCGGGCAAATAATGTGATATAGCCGGCTGCCCACCAGGCTAAGTTGGAAATAAAATAAAAAAATTCAAACCTCCAACCGAAAAACACACAATTCTCGGGGCAGTGAGAAGAATTGCGAGAGCAATTTTCTTACCTAACCCAACGTGAGATAATCTCAGGCTGTCGCCTAATAAAATCCAAAAACCCGAAAGCTTCGAGTGTTAAATATTCCTACCTAATAAAAAAGAAGAAGCGTGTGTTTTTGCTTTTAGGCAAATTAAAGTTGAATTACGTGTGCCGAAAAAGTTAAAAAAGACTGAAGGCCATTCAAGGGTTGTTCAAAGGAAAATTCGGTGAAAAGTTTCGGTGTGTGTGTGCATTGCGTGAGAAAAATCAATTCTGCATTTGGTGGAAAACCAAAAGGAGTGGAGAGGAAAAAGGACAAAGGCTGGGGAAAACTCGTAACCGATGACAATTTGGCTTGACAAGGGTCTATTAGCGAAATCAATGCCATTATGGCTGATAGTGGAGGAGGACCAGGATCCAAGCACAAGGATCCAAGTTCCATAGATGCCGGCCTCCATGATGATGACGTGCCTCCAGTCCCAGCTGTTCGCCGGCGTCGCGCGCATGAGCAGAAATCCTCGAGAGAGCAAGTGGAGCAGGAGGAGGAGCGGCAGGAGGAGAGCCAACAGCTGGAGACATCGACGGTGACGAGGACTTATATGAAAACCATCACCACCTCCCTGACCACCTCGAGTAGCTCGAATATAGAGGAGTTGGTCCTGGAGGACCAGCCTTCATCTGCTCCTTCGCCCAATCAACAGAGACTCCGACAAAAGGTGGCCCAATACGAAAAGGTCTGGTCGGATGGCTCTAATCCCGTCAAGCGGCCCGCTGAGCAAAGCTCCGATGAGCTGCGTTTGGTTGACGATCCGGAAGATTACGATGCCGAGAATCCCTTCGAGATAGATGTCCACGAAATCGAGCGGAGATTGCGACAGGAGAGGCAACGTGGATTGGCCGAGGCGGAGGCAGCCAAGTTGGCCTTCCAGCAGGTTCAACTGAGGCACACAACTCCTCCTCGTCGAGTCGAGGTGACCAGTGACCAGGTGGCGAGTCCTTTTAACGTAACCCTTCGCACTACCAGTCGCCTGATGAGCCCCTCTGGCGAGCAGGGCAATGTGGAGGAGCATTTGGCGCCGTTTAATGTGACCCTACGAACGGCTCGAAGGACCAAGAAAAGGGAGCTCAATGAAGTAGAAAGTTTCCTTGAAGGAGAAAGAACTGTAAGAGAGGTTCCTTCCGCTGATGGCGTGAGAACCATCATCACCTCCTCGATGACCAGCGATGGCGGCTATGCCGAGGAGAAGATCTATCGCCATGGCGAGGGCTATGTTTCGCCCAGAGATTCGCCATCCTGGTCGCGTTCGAGTATCTCCAGTGAGCGATCCAGTGTGACGCCACCGAGGAGCGTGGATTTAACCGCCGGCGGACGAAGGATACTGATCAAATTGGAGCAGGAAAGTGAACTAATCGGGGAGGACTCAACCGATTCGTTTGGTGGCCGACAGGAAGTACCCATGGCAACGGGCAACATTGACATTACCGTCGGCGGTAGCAACCCCCGCCGGCGTTTGTACCAGCAAACAACTGTCCAGGTGGGTGGTGGTGCTACTACCCCCGAACAGGTAACACCACCCCAAAGGCAGAGACCCAGGGACCTGGAGCTGAAGACAATGCTTAAAACATCCACGCCAATTGGCACGAAGGAGCAACCGCAAAAGGGTCTAGTTAGTCCAGCTGCAACGTGCCAATTGCGCGGTTCTTCGACGGAAGAGCCACGGAAAATTGTAAGCCACAAAACGATAACCAGCACAACGACCAAGTCCTCGTCCTCATCCTTATCCACGTCGCGTAAATTAATCGAAACGTCGCCGGTTGTCGGGAATATCTCGGAAATTCGTATCGCCGGTAACGATCTAGAGATCGATAACGATTCGGACACCGAGGGCCGACCGGCCAGCAGTATAGTGATTGTGTCCACGCCCACGCGACCTAGCACTCCTTCATCCCAATCACAATCCCATTCCGCATCCACATCCGCTTCAGCTGCCCACGCCCTCAGCGGCATCGGCACTTTCAGCAAGAGTCTGCGCCAGGATTATCAGACTCTGGCAACGCAAAGTGGCCGCAGCAACGAATCACCCAGTGAACAGGAATACCACGAGTTCCAGTCCACCATGGCGTCCATCAATTACGCCCGCAGCAATTCCCAGTACGACAGCCATATCAAGGAGAAACGAGGTAAAAATCGAGAGAAAGTTGGTTAGGATATATCACAACAGTTGAGTTTAGGAATCGGGAAAAACTAGGGTTGGGTTAAAATAAAAAGATTTCTGAGAACATTATATTATGGTGTATTATACTTTCAATAATACAGTTTTGAAGACTTCTCAATGTAAAGTTTTTATATTCAAAGAAAAGATTTCGAAAGAATATTGGATTTCGGAAAAAATATTTTTTCTTTCAATATTTTTCTTCTTTTCAAAATTACAGTTTTAAAGTCTTTTCAATCCAAAGTTTTTATATCCTTATATTAAAACGACTTTTTGAGAAACCCAATTTTATTAAATCTGAATTCAGAAAACAGCTTTTCTAAGATTTTAAAAGTTTTAATCTTTGAAGCCAATAAAAAAAAAGTTTTTAAAAATTTAAAACGTAAATTTTTTCAATATGGACCTTATACTTAAATGACAAGAATTTTTCTACTTTTTATTACAATGTCTTCCTTAGAAATTCAAAAAATCTCTTTTGAAGTTTTTAACCCAATATTAAAATATATTTTTACCTGCAGTTTTGAAAAGATTTAATTACAAGTCTTAATTGTTAAAACCACATTCTTCTTGCCCTTATCTTCGAAAATTTAACCAAGGTAATCCCCCATTTAGCCTATTTTGAGGTAGATCTTATCTGTAACAAGTTTATACCCCCAACCGCCGCTGGTCTCCAGATAACAATGCTCAGTTATTTCGCTCGCTTCCCGTTTAGAAAACGATACATATATAATGGGCAAAAGTATTTTTAGAGGATTCTATAGGTTGTCAAGGTCAGTCGGCGGTACTTTGTGGTTACACCTGCGGCCGAGAGACATTTGTATGTTTAATTAATTATTACAGAAAAACAATCGATAAAAAACAAAACTGCCAAAATGACATCATCCAACGCTTTGAGACGCAGCAATTCGAACTTTAACTTGTTTAGCTGGCTGTCGTTATAAGTCAGTCGGTCGGTTGGTCGCACCCCGAACTTCTATACTTTTATACTATCTGGCGATTTATATTATTTATATACTGGCGCACAGTGCGTTTGTTATGTATTCGCCCCATCGACTACTACTGTTGGCAAGCAGTTTGTTACCTCTTTCCTTGGGTTCGGAAAAAGAAGAGGGAATTTATTGGCAGCGAAAAGCACTCGAACTACCCCCAGAACAGGTTGATGATGGGGTTGGGATTGGGATTGGGATCGGTATTGTATGTAGGATTGCTGTCTATTATGTGACCTCCTCGGCTGTTATTATGTTAAGCACAACAACCAATTAAGTGTCTGGCAGCCTGTCTGTCTTGCCCTCCTCGAAAATGTTGATCTGAGTGGATCGAACAGCGTGTCCCCCCGAGAATGACTAGCGCAATTTTCGGCCTGCACTTGACGATACACACGTTGTTCATCTAGGTATATGCAAATATTTTTTCAGACACATATTTGTATCTATAGATACGCCCTGCCATTCGCCTATGAGCATTTTGTTTGCATTATCTTTAATATATGATGAGTATCAGGGAAAGTTCTATATGCATGAAGAATATTTTATGGAAATTGATTTTTCATGTTTGCCATTTGGGTTGCTGAGAAGGTTTTTTGTGGGCTCATTTAGTTATAGGTGATTAATAGGTTACGATAAGGTCAAACAGGTGGAATACTTTGCAGTTTTGCAAAAATGTTATTTCTTAATTCAATTTTGTGAGCACTTACACAAAAAAAAAATTACAAAAGATCAGATTGATATGATATGAATGATATCATTTTAATATGAATAAAGATTATTTTTATCTTATTTTACATTATTTTTTGGTATTTGGTATTTTACATGATATGCTAAAATATCATTTTGATATGTTTGAACCATAAATTTGACTTAAATCATATTAACTTTTTATGAAATAAGTTAGAATTTATACTTTTTTATATCGGGTTTTTTTTCTGTGAAGGTTCCTAACACATTTCGAGTTGCAAAAGCTCTTCGTAGGGTATCTAGAAAAACCTACAAAAATCCCTAAATCGTTAGATGTCTTTATATGACAATTAGTGAGCATAAATCAAGTTTGCGTGAGTTAAAGTATTATTTTTCCTCTTCTCGGATCATCGTCAATGTCAGCATAACGGCTCGCTGTCAAATATTTTGATGTTGCGTGCTTCCAACAAACTTTTCGAATGCTTCGATAAATTTGTTTGACAAAGCAGCACAAAATTTGCCCCAAATGTGTGCCATATAACTATATTGGCAGGCCTATCCACACACACAATATCTCTAGCATATCAAATGTATATATAAAACGACATGGGGACAGCACTTTATAAATTTATAAACCAGCAAAAGTACGTCAAGCGTTCACTAATTGATGACAGTCACATGGATGTATAGTATACAGTAAACTATTGATTGGTGGCTTTTGACTTGGTTTCAATATATGTCCTCACTTTCCCAGCAATTATCATTAATGCCATTTTAATGGGTGGCGAAAAAAAACGTTTGAAAAACAAAACCTGCAACTCTTTCAATATTTATGATACACCTTGCGGTATATCCAGCCATTGAGCTTCATCAAGCCGCATTTCAAAGCCGAATTTGGTTTTGAATATGATTTATGACAGATATTCAATGCTTGGTTCAATGAAAATGAAAATGTTTTCAAAACAAAGTGGCATCTAACGTTATCTCAGGCGATCCGTCGTTGTAAGTAATCCACACAAACGGAACAATCCCATCAGCAGCCGTACAACTGAGATCATCGCCGACTTATTTATTTATTGATTCTGCTATTGTATTTATCTGTCAGTTGTAATATTTATAGGGCATGTAGTCGAGCGGATTTTAATTGATGCCTAAAATGCGGTCCAGAGAAGTTGGCGCCTCTGACTGAAATTTAAGCTGAGGTTTGTAAGCTAAGAAGCGAATCAAATTTACACCCAAAGCCGAACTTGAAGTACCCACAAGTTTGCACTTAACCCACAAAATATATATACACAGAAACAAGTTCAAACAAAATTTTTATTTCATATCTATTAAAAGCCGATATGATTTATGTCAAATTTATGATTCAAATATATCAAATTGATATTTTATTATACCATTTAAAATACCAAATTTAATAATTTTTGAATAAATAATGTAAAATAAGATCAACATAACCTTTATTCATATCAAAATGATATGAAATTTACCAGAGCATATCAATCTGATCTTTAGTCAATTTTTTTCTGTGTATATATTATTTTGGCTTTTTTTATGTGGGAGCAGATTCCTCTCCAGATGTTGGTCATGTGGCCAAAGAAATTAAAAAGTTCTTAATTTCGTGGCTACCTCCTCCTCAATTTTCTGTTCTGCTCGTGGGCAGATCTTTTGAAGATCTCTTCTGTAGCTTCTTTTGCGGTTTTCGTCGTTTTAAACAAATTATCTTCTTTGTTTTTGTTGCCATATTTATTTTCTTTTCGTTTTTGGGTACTCAATCATTTAGTTTTTAGTTTTGGCTATCGGTATCTGCTGGTTTAGTGAACGGTATTAATGACAAAAATAAATAAACATACATATATGCGCCTTCTGATTAGGGTAAACATACAGAGTACATATACTTAGTTATGACGCAATCGCAACCACTTGACTCTATGAATCCCCATATCGTATTTGCATCTAATATTTTCGAGTAGCTGTGAAATGCTTAATGGGTGGGGGTGGCTAGATTGGGAGGGGCAACCTGTCGAAGGCAATGGAGCGTAAAGTTAAGTAATGCCATTTATAAGACTCTTCAACATGTTGGCTACAGGCTACAATTTATGCGGGCTTTTTCTGACATATTTGCTGCTCACTTGTCGCCGCAGGTGACAACGACAAGTGCAACTCGACACACCTCACTGGTTTTCACTGTATTTGCGTTGAAATTTAAATTTAAATTTAAACGAAATTTAAACAGTTGATATAATAATCGAACAGTCTATGCTGGAGTGATCATCACATGGTCGATTGCCTCTGGGGAAGGTCAACATATTGAGTAGTTTGGTTTATTATAATATCAAGATGCCTTATCAAGTTTCACGAACTTTGGAATATAATCAAGTTAGACTGAGTCAGTTTAAGTTTAGATAATATTTTGGGGTTTTTGTTAAGGAATGTGCGATAGTAAAGGTATTTTCAAAAAGATAAGGGTATTCAAGAGGGGTTTATAATTTCTTTGCAAGTTTTAGAGAGTTCTCTATTCTATGTTATCCAATAGGTCGTGCCCCAAATAATTAAGCCAATAAACATCGGTTTTTGTATTACGGAAATCCCCTGCCGCAAAAACGCAGAACATTTAATTCTACGCACTTCCGTTGAAAAGCCCAACATATGCTCTATATCGTGTGGATTCAAACACACTCCCCCCGAAACGATTCGATTGCCTTTTGTTTATGCAAATGTAGAGGAACATTGGTTTTATTTTCCTATTTTTTTTTTGGTAGGGAAACCCAAACAATTAGCTATGCGTGAAAGTAAATAAACTATTTTTACCAAACACTTCTTTTTTTTTGTTCGGTCTCTTGGCTTCTTTTCTATTTATGTTCTGTAACTAGGCCAAATCAGACAAACGGGCGACTGAAGCTGAATATATAACAAACTGACTGCCCTTTCAGTACTCCACTTTTTAGTGTTAATATTTTTAGTAATTGGTAATTATTCTTAACGGGGTGAAAAAGCTCATAGGTTTCATTCATAAAACCGTACAAGTATTTTCTAAGAATTTGGTTTTCACAATTTCCACCACGCATTAGACGCGCTCATTAAATAGCAAAAATAGCGAAATAAACATAAATAACAATCAACCGACTTATCATTATAATCACCATCATTAACTCACTGACTGACTGAACCATTCATAAGATGAAGTAAAAAAGAACCGACAACCAAAACTGAAAAAGAACAAGAAAAAGAAGAGAAGGCAACAATTTACCGCTGTTAAAATACTTTGTTTTCATTTCTGAAGAATCTATAATGTCCATGCCCTCGGGGATCTTGTAATCATTCCATACATCATTATTGAAATGGAAATTGAAATTAACAAACCTGAAAAGTCATTCAACTTGAACGTTACGCCCTGGCCTGATTTTGCCCCCTGTTAATTGTTCTACGCATAATGCGGTGTAAAAATAAAACTCGTTTCTGTATGCTTTTACTTTTGATATTGCTGTTTGATTTTGTCTAAAGAGTTGATCGAGCGAAGCACTTAGAGTTAGGGAATTATAATTGCCCTCGGATTTAATTGGAGCCTATAGGTTTGTTTACTCTGTATAGAAAACTAGTTTTAGAAAGGTTTTTATTATAATAAGTTTTCATATCCAAAAATGTAAAATATTAGTCCTAATGTTTCTTATACAATCTTCCAAAATCCAAATAAAATATTATATTATATTATCAATATAATACTTCATTATTTTTATTATTTTCTAATTTTTATTGAGTGCGAGACATAGAAAATTCTACACAATGTCTGATAAGCTTGACCCGTATTAAACTACTTATACACACTTACTTACTTATATAGTCCTTATCAGATTCCCCAACTTCGAGTGCATTTTTCCTTATCTTTGCAATAATTGGCAAATATTTTCGCTATCAGCAAAAAGTTTTGGTAAAACAAAAACTCACTTGATTTATGGCATACTAAAAGTTTAACTAATCAACATGTGTCACACATATACATTTATTTTTGGTCAGGCCAAGACCAAAATAATACAAACAGAGCCAACTAGTTTTTAAAGAAAATATATTCAGTATGCCAAATGCGGTAGTTAAGTTTATATATTCGCGAAACATCAAAGATTTGTTACCAAAAATATCAGGTTTATATTAAACGAGTCTCTGAAGAGGCGTCTAACGTATTTGAGCAAAACAACTTAATTGTTTGGGAATAACAACAATAGATTTTATTTTTTGAATTTAAAAAAAAGTATATTTAGAAGAAAAAAACGATTAACACAGGTTTATATTAAAATAAAATCAGGTTAATAATATCTAAAAAAATTAAGGTAACCTTAAACCAGAAAAATTTTAAATTTAAACGTAATCACCTTAGGTGTACTTCAGGTATATTGTTTTTTGCCAAACGTTTACAAAATTTCGTTGGCCACAAGTGATTTACAATGCCACATTTGTGTTAATTTATTATGGGACCTGCTACATCGAATCTTTACAAGCCATTAGAGCATTTGAAAAGTGTCTGAAAGAACCATAAAAATGGCCATTAGGTGGGGTTTGGTATTTTACCTTGCCTCAAGTTCATCCAAATGCACCAATTTGTGGGCTTTGCCTTTGCCGAAAGTTGGCTAAATTGTGTATTTCACTTTAGAACGATTAATATATATATGAAAACGACTTTCAGTTGCTTTGCAAATTGCGCAACCTTGAACTAATTTCTATTTAAATAATCTTTTGTCAACATTTCAAAAATTGCGTCACTCAGATGGCAATAAATGAATGAAAATTCAATTCTAGAGAAATTGATAATATAAGCGAAATGTTGAGGGGATCATTTAAAATTAATTATTACAATTTGTGTGTTTTGTGTTCTTACTTTGTAAATCGTTTTGATAATTGGCTAAGCGTTTGACGCTTTCATGGCTGCGTCGATTTATTTTATGTAATAATTCTTATTCCAAGCATTCCTCATGTCTAACTGTAGAAATTTTCCATTTTCGAAAAACGAGTATTTCTTATTTATTACGGGAAATCTATTTTGGTTTCATATTGTTGGCATGCCTTTGGCCGAATGCCAGAAAGCGAATAGACCACGCACTGGGCCAAGTATTCTTGGAGCTGCTCAGTTCCCAATGGGCTGGATTTGGTCTGGTGGGGATGGGAATGGGGATTTTCCCCATCAGACAGCTGCTGGCTACCATTTTCCATTTCGACTGCACTTTTCCATAATGATTCTGCTTAATGCGTTTATTCTTTCGCTCTCTTGTGTATATTTTGATAATTGTTTACAAATTGATGTTTTTAACGCTTTGTTTATTATTTCAATTTGTCGGCTAAAGAATGAAATTGAGGTAATTAAGGCGCACAAAAAATGACTAAATATTTGGTTTGGCAAATCTCAGTTTTTGTGTTTACAATTGGCGGTCTACCTTTTGACGCATGCAAAGGGTCAACGAAATTTGAAATATTTTCCACTGATTTTTTATGGGCTGGTTTTCGTATTTTCAACTTTAATGTTTAAATGATTCATCCGAAAATAATTTTTAATAAGTAAATAAGAAATATATTTATAGGTACAATGCATTTTTTGTATACCCATTATATTTTAGCTTTATTTGGATATATTTAGGATTTCTTTAAATGATTCAGTCAAAGAAAGTAAATAAGAAATATATTTATAGGTGGTTAAAATATGAAATAAAAATCCCATGCAATTTTACAATGCATTTTTTTGTATACCCATTACATTTTTACTTTATTTGTATTTATTTAGGAAATAGTCCCATAAACTGTTAGCGATAATATCGCCAAAACAAACATGATGTCATCGTGTTTATTTCGCTTTATACACCAACTTAACTGATAATTCAATTAAAGCAAACATAAGTTTTAAAGACAGGCCGAACCAAAATGAAACCGAAAAACTGGTATATAAGTAGTATGCCCTGTGCATGCCAAGAAATGTATCTTATCGGTTGGGGTTTCAGTATCTTTGGTAGTATCGTCATGTCTCTTTTTTTGCCTTTTATGTCTTTGTCGTCTCGGCTGCCGACACTTGTCCAACAATTAATTGCAAATGAACGAAATGTATTCCTCATTTACTGACATTTACCTTTTCTCTCTTTTTTCTTTAAATTTTTCAGAGGAGCAAGAACGTGTGCAGAAGAAGACATTCACTAATTGGATTAATTCATACCTATTGAAGGTGAGTCTATCGTCTATACGTCTCAATCGATTTGCCATTCGTCTTAGTGAGAGAGGGGTGCCAATGAATTTTGTCTACACCAAGTGGCATTGGAATTTGCATATAGATTTGCATGTGATAAACCAAGCGTGAGAGGTGTTTGTGTCTGCCAAAAAACTAAACAAAAACTAACGCACCACCACACAAAATAGGTTAAGGGGCGTGACATGTCCATCACTTTGAATACAAAATCAGAAATTACGCGTGATAAGCGTATTTAAGCTTTTATTTGTCGAGTAATTATGATGGAATAATAAGCGAAAAGCGTTTGTTCAAAGATATTGTGATATAACAGATATTAAACAGCGTGAAATTTGAAGGTTGTTTTGGGGATTGTCGTTGTCAAGTAAATAAATCAGCGAGTGAATAAATTTTAAGACCCGATTTATGACGGTTATGATTTTTAATGATATACATTTTTTAATTTGTACCTTGTTTTGTACAATAAAAAACATAATTAGGTTTGTATTTTTTTATGAACAAACATTTTTCGGGACCTATTTATTTTGCCTCTGGGCTTTTGATCTTTTATGACCACCATATAGATTCGTAAAAAGTCCACAAAGCCCACAATTTCTAACATTAGCATAAATGTGTGTAAATACATATGTAAATATGTACCTTCAGGTTCTGCACAAACATTTGTCATGTCTGAACATATTCGAGTCACTCCTCATCGCCGGATAGCTTCCAAGAATATCTCACGAGCACACGCACCCAGTTCCTAGCAATGCTAGAAATTCCTCAAGGCATTCCTATAGGTGCTCTCCATCTTTCTTCACTTCAGTCTTTTGAACAATGCAAAAAAGATTGAAAGAAAAAAGAGAGTCAGAAGTTGACGGGGCTGTCGTCTAACCAAACAACCAGAGAAGAAAAGTGGTGAATTAATGGAAAAAGTATCTAGCAGATAGTTCCGTTTCTGGCGGGGATCGGCCGATGGCTTCAATTGCATTGCCATTAACCCGCAAGAAACCCACGCGACGCCTACTGACTTACTTTCTTGTCCCGAACGGAGCTGATTTAATGCACTTTTCAGTCTTTTCAGACTTTTCAGATTGAGTGAGCCATGTTTCGTTTGGTGTCTCAAATGCGTTATCTTTTAATACCAACGGCAATCTGCAGACATGAGCCGGCAATTTTTTTTCTGCCCACACTATTGTGGGAAAAATATTAGTAGTAATTGGAAAATTAAAAAAAAAATCATACTATTCTAATAAAACTACAAGTTATTATAGGAATTATTTGTGTTGTTGCTTTTGATAGTTTAGAAATTAAATACAGCTTTTTAAGTTTTTTAATTTAAAATTGATTATTACATTTTTTTTTCGTTGTTTAGTTTTATAAAAGTGTTGTACATACTTTGTCCATGTTTTCTACATACTTTCTCCATCTTTTCTAGATACTTTGTCCATGTTTTTAGTTTAATAATATGAGTTAAAAAATTTATTTTTTTTAGAGGCAGGAAAATTATACATATTTTTCCCCTACTGTGTATTAGTGCTTTTACGAAAAAACATTTTGCCGGCCGGCCGGCAATTATTCCAATACAATCCAATCCGGGCAGCCATTGAAAACCAGTTCCTCGACTCAGAGAGTGCAGCTCGATAAGGCTGCCAGTTGAAGTTGTATGTGGCATGGCACATAAAAGGAGCAGCAGACGACATGCAAGGCTCTCAGTCTCAATCTCCGTCTCCGAATCGATTTCCAGAATGCGTGGGTTCGGCTTCCCTGATTGAAGTCATATTTCAGCTGTCCCAGGAGTTGGAGATGCAACATCTACATCTCAGAGTTATGCAACCAATATGCAAATGAGTCACTTAATGTGCATAATGACAGGGCAAATTTGCAGTCGCTGTCGCTTTTACCATTGCAATTGCACAACGATTGGCTTGACACGTTTCACCGAGAGGCAATAAATATTACTCTTGCCTTTTGCTAATAAAAAGTGATTTATTTAATTTGCGTTCACCTATTGAAGCTTCGTTAGACCCGTCAATTAGCAGGCATCTTCCATTTCCCCCACATTGTAGCCACAACAGATACACACCGAGTAAAAAACATTTGATGGGGGCAGCCCAAAAATGTTGGATTGGTATTCGTTTTATTTATTTTCAAGCTCAGTTCAAGGTGAACGAGGTTTACATTTTCGTTTTTTTTTGTATTCGGTGTCGCTAGCGACCCAAAAACCCGCTCTGGACGCTCGCTTTTCATAGAATTTGATTAAAATTTATGAATTAATTTAAACGCTTCGGAACCAGCGTGGTGGGTCGCCAGTTGGATGTTCAGTTTTTGAGGGGCCCCAGTTCGCTTTCATTTCTTTATGACATAATTGATGGCAACGCCCCGGCACGAGTCGTGCCCTCTAAATTCGTAACTCCCGCATGTGAGTCTATATCTTGGTGGACCCATAAAACCAAAGTGAAAGGATCAAGCTATTAGAGGTGATTAAATTAGAAAGGATTTTGTGTCGGGAAAGTGGGCTACGATAGCTGGCGGTGGGAATATTTGTCAGGTGCTCATCTTATTGTGTTGGACAGGTGACAAGTGAAAAGATTAGAAAAGATTTACAATCCTCCAGACACTGAATCACCCAGAGAAACGGATTATGGTTATGACTGACTTATATAGTTTGTTGGAAAATTACTTTACCGTATTTCTAAAATCCGATTATACCATTTTATAACGAATTGCTTGACGAATAAAATGTAATATTATAGAGAAAAAAATTATACTTATATTTTTTTAGACATTATTCCCTAAATATAATTTATATATAGCAACATATCATTGAAATTTAAACCAGATAAATATTTAAAGACTTGTAAGAGAATTTTAAACTAATAGTGGATAAATAAAATGTAATATTGAAGAGAAAAGAGCATTATACTTATTTCCTCGATATTTTTTCCGAAATATATTTTGTATATAGCAACATATCATAGAAACTTAAACCAGATAAATATCTAAAGACTTGTTAGAGCATTTTTAAGCACTTAAATATGGTACTAACTTATCAACTTTGCTAGAAGTAATTATAATACTCAGCGGTCTGATCAAGGCAAGGTACCCATTTTGCGATTAGCCGGTAAGACCCATTTAATTTTTTTGATGTCATGTTCGGGGAGTATTAAGTTCCTAAGAGACGACTCCCAGGAAACGGCTGTAATGACATATGTCAGCCCGAAATAAACAGCGGAAAGACAAAGAAACTTTTTATATAAAGCACTATGACACCATAAATTCCGGAACTAAATGGAAAAGAAAGAGGCGTTTCTAGTGGAACAGGAAACGGAAGCATTGAAATTGATTTCGCAATGTCTGTTCTGAAGGAGAATTCACACAAAAATGAAAAGTTTTTGCTGTGAAAAGTTTTTACCCAGCATTGTCATTGTCTTTTGCATGTTGGCAACAGTTGAATAAAGTTTTGCAGCAACTATTTGCCCATAAGAAAGCTCAATTAAATGCTACACTCAATTACAATGAATTTTCCCCCCTCTGTGTTGTTTGTTTGTTTGTTGGTTTTTGGTGCCACTTCCGCTGCTGCGGCCTTAATGGCATTACCTTAAAAATTGTAATCTTTTGCGGTGGATTCAAGTTAAATGCCTGCTCGTGCCATTTGCCAATTTGTCTTCTTTCGCACTCGCAAGTATTACGGCAAATTATCGCTATGGCAAACAGAGCAATTTAAACTATTTTAATTGATTTAATGCGCCTTAATGTTGAACGATTCCGTGAGTTGCATTTAATTGATTAACCGAAAAATAAAACCTATGCAAATCCCAAACGAGCAGCCTAAAGTGACCAAAGGCAAAACATTAAATCCGTTCAGTGCACCCCATTAAGTTTGTTTATTTTCATAGCTATGAGTGCAAAACGTTGGTATAGTATAGTGCACATAATATAGTCATAAAAGTGGCATTAAAAAGTACACCAAATAGCACTTTAAGGCAAATGTGGTCTACTTTGCCCTCCTTAAGAGAGAGAGAGTTCGTAAAACCAATTAAATTAAGTGTTTTAAGCGGGGAAACTTTGATTTCTGATTAAGCATAACACTTGGCATAAATTTCGGTCTTAAGGTGGTGATTTTCTGGGTGAAGACTTTATGTCTCTAAATATTTTTATACCCGTTACTCGCAGAGTATATCTTTAAATGCAATTATTTTGTGTTTAAATATACCTATAAAGAAGTAGAAGAAATTTTTCAAATCGGACCATTCGTTAAAAAGTTATGAGCAAATAATAAAAAATGCAAGCAGTCGCTTTGCCATATGCATATCTCCGTCTCCCTCTCACATCCTTTAGCTAAATAACGGGTATCGATTATAGCGTTCTCTCTTGATTTTAGTCGTTTTTAATAACCTTCTTTTGCATTGAAGATATTTTATGAAATATTTTTTTTAATTTTACATTACATTTTCCATATAATTAACTCAAATCCATTAATTTGCTTATCCATTTCAGCGTGTTCCACCGCTTCGTATCGATGATTTAATCAATGACTTACGCGATGGTACGAAACTAATTGCATTGCTCGAAGTTCTGTCCGGAGAACGCCTGCCCGTGGAGAAGGGTCGCGTCCTGAGACGTCCACATTTCCTTAGCAATGCCAATACGGCCCTGCAATTTTTGGCCAGCAAACGGATCAAGTTGGTTAATATTAATCCCGCAGATCTGGTGGACGGGAGACCACCAGTTGTGTTGGGTTTGATATGGACAATCATCTTGTACTTCCAGGTAAGCATGCTTATACATTTAAACTTTTTATTAAATATAACACTCCGAGTGCACCAGTTCACGAATTGAGAGCACCACCAAAAATTGGTTGCTAGTTGTACACCTTCTCACGAGGCTACCACCAGTAGAGATGTACACACACTCCAAGTCAAAAAAAAAATCCCACTTAATTTTGAAACTTTGAACGTAATTAACCCCATGAACCTTCTTTTTCTATATACTTTTTTATTGATATCATAATCTTAAAACGTACACAAGCTTCGTAAAAAGAGGCGGAAAAACTTAGTAGTAGTTATAAATTATGCGCCACAGGTGGGTCCAAGTCGAACGTAATTGTTGTTATTTTGTCGTGTGTACCTCATACATACATATATCTTTTTGGGTAGAGAATCGTTTTTAGTTCGGTAGCAAAAACCTTTAAAGGCACTTCCCCATATCTTAAGTTTAACCATTACATTGCATTGCATGCGGAAAGTTTTTTATACAAGCAACTAACTCAATTATTTATTCATCATAGATCGAGGAGAACAGCCGCAACCTAGAGTATTTGGGTCATGGTATTGGCGGTTCGGTTAGTTCCCTCGACAGCGTTGGTAACCAGAAGCACGGCGATCTGAAGGCTGAGAAATGGAAGCAGGGTGCCAGGAAGACCCTGCTCAACTGGGTGACCAATGCCTTGCCAAAGTGAGTAGATCAAAAAAATCTATAGGTTTACTTTTATTCATTAATATATCTATTATAGGGATAGTGGTGTGGAGGTGAAGGATTTCGGCGCCAGCTGGAGAGATGGCGTCGCTTTCCTGGCCCTCATCGATGCCATCAAGGCGAACCTGGTCAACTTGGCTGAGCTGAAGAAGACCAGCAACCGTCAGCGCTTGGAGACTGCTTTCGATGTGGCCGAAAGCAAGTTGGGCATTGCCAAGCTCCTGGACGCTGAGGATGTGGACGTACCCAAGCCGGATGAGAAGAGTATCATGACATATGTGGCGCAATTTTTGCACAAGTATCCCGAACCAAAGGTGAGTTTAAATCAAGAAAGGAACCTATATAGCTTATATACCCTTGCAGATCATTCCTTTTAGTTTACAAATCGCAAAAATGTTTAATTTCCTATTATTTCCCATTAGTTTTCCGATCGTTCCTATGTCAGCTATATGATATAGTCGTAGGGTTTTGATAAATTTTAATTTTAATTCAAAATTCAGAATTAGATAAAAAATGGTATTTCCAAAAGTAGAAGGTTATATGTTTACATTTTTCCCTCGATTATTCCTATGGACATATATACTACCTGCAAAAGAAAGAAGACTTTTGGGAAAGTTTTAGCCCGATAGATTTAGACTGCAAGGGTATAATTACATATCATTCCTCATAAAAACCTCCTTACTTATAAAATAATATCACTTTTTCAGGGTGCCTCTCGCGACCAATCGCATGTGCAACAGGAGGCGGACGAGCTGCGTCGCTTCCTGGTGGAGAAGACCACCGAGTACGAGCCCATGGTCATGATGAGCTCGTTCCCACGCGATTTCAGTGAATATTTACTCGCCCGTTCCGAAGTCGATGCCCATTTGGCGGCCTATAATCGCTTGAAACAGCTCATCGAGAGCCAGAGCGGATTCCTGCAGGTCTCCCGCCAATCCTGGGAGGAGATCAACGAGCTGTGGCAGCGCCTCCAGTACCAGATGATGTACTGGCTCTGGCTGCTGGACTCGGAGCTGCCCGGCGACTTTGGCACCGTTGGCAAATGGTTAGCCGAAGCGGAGAAACTATTAATGGACAATGATATACCGAATGCAATGAATGAGGAGACGGCCGCCGTGATAAGCAGGAAGCTGGAGGAGCACAAGCTCTTCTTTGCCGATCTGCCACGCATTTTGGCCATGTTTGACAATGCCAAGCGATCGCCGCTGGCCCAGCAGATTCCCCTGGAGCAGTTGCGCAACATGGAGCGCCGTCTGCAGGAAGTCGGACCAAAGGCAGCGGAGCGCAGGATTCGTTTGAAGTTCCTCGAGCACAAGTGCTGTCTGATTGCCTTCTTGAACCTCGTGGAGAACAAGATGCGTGGCTGGACCGGGAAGTATGGGCACGAGGAGAAGGTGGCCCAACAGCTGGAGCAGTACAAGAACTTTGTGTCGCGCAACAAGATCTTCCAGGAGTTCCAGAAGGCCTTTGTCGATATGCAACAGGTGGTGGAGGAGTACAAGCGTGATGGCAATGTGCCGCGCAAGGAGATCAACGAGATCGATCGGTTTATGTACGAAACCGAGGAGCGTTGGAAGCGCGTCTCCATGGAGCTCAAGTGCTGTCAGAATTCTCTAGAGGAAGTGGTCAACTGCTGGCGCAGCTGGAACCAATTGGCTCCCTCCTGCGAGGAGTGGCTACTGTTGGCCGAGCAGAAGGTTAACCAGAGCGAAGACGAACGACTGGACTTCTTCCAGGACATACCCGTTTGGAAGGATAAATTTGATGCCCTAGCTAACTCGGCTAACTATCTGATTGCCTCCTGTGAGGAGCCCATTGCCCAGCAGCTGCGTCAGCGTCATGGAGCTCTCTCCGAGCGCTTTGAACGTTTGTTTGCCAACACCAAGCAGTATATGCATGCTGGAGACATCATACGTTCGCGGCAGGAGTACAAATCAGGCATAGAGCAGCTTTCCCGTTGGCTGCGAGGAGCTGAAGCTGTTCTCGACCAGAAACAGATCCTCGGCAACAGTGAACAGATCAAGCAATATGGCCAGCAGCTGCAGCAATTGGCCAGCGAAATCGATGACAACGAGGAGCTGTTCAAGACCATCAGCAGGAATTTCCAATCACTGATACAAGACCTCTCACGCGACGAGGTGGACAAGATGATGAAGCTTCTGAAGCAGGAAAAGGAATCTCTGGTGCGCATACGCGCCCAGTTGCCTGCCAAGCTGCATCTCTTCCATCAGCTGCAGATCCAACAGGAATCCCTGGAGGCCGGGCAAAAGGAGATCCATCAGTGGTTGACTGAAGCTGAACAGCTGCTGGGAACCCATAATCTTACGGGAGGACGTGATGCCATCAATGAGCAACTCCTCAAGCACAAGACCTACTTCTCACGCACCGTCTACTATCGTTCCATGCTGGAGAGCAAGAACAAGGTGTTCCAGAATCTACTAAAGGCCGTCTCCGCGGATGACAAGATCGACACTGCTCCGGCTACTCAACAAATGCAGCAGCTGAACGAACGCTTCAACTATGTGATCCAGAATGCCCAGCAATGGGAGCAGCGATTGGACTCGGCAGCCGGTGGATGGAGCAACTTCAAGGACAACGAACGTGTGGTCAGCGAATGGCTAACCCAGGCCGAATCCATGCTGGTGGAGAAGCATATCGAATCGAAGACCACCATCGAGACGCAGAAGTACTTCTTTGAGCAGGTCAACGATCGCTGGATGAACGATCTGGTGCAGTCGGCTCAACAACTACTGACCACCCTGCCCGCCCAGGAGCAACCTGCTGTGGTGCACAGTGTGGAGCAGTTGCAGTCACGCTGGAAGAATGTCCTTTCCCAGGCTCCTTTGCACCTACTGAAACTGGAATTCCGCCTGGACGAGAATGCCTTCTATCAATCCCTGAAGGATGTGGAGAAGGAGTTGCAGCTGGAGCAGCAGGCTCTCAATCGCAACGAGGATGTGGACTCTATTCTGCAGCGCAACCAGCAGTTCCTCCTCCAACAGGATGCGGTTCCCCGACTGGAGCGTTGCCTCCAAAACATGGAACGTTTGGCCCAAGCCCACAGGCAACAACAACCCGGTGACATTAGTCTGGATCAGGCCTACGACAATGCCAAGTCGCAGTGGCAACTGTTGTCCAACAAACTGGGCGACATGCGCCAGACTCTCCAGCAAATCCCAGCCCAATGGCAGGGTTATCATCTGAAGTTCAACGACATGGTCGGTTGGATGAACGGCGTGGATCAGAGCCTTAAAAATATCGTAAATGAGGTCAATACCATGGAGGAATTCGAGAAGGAGAAGGTCGTCTTCCAGGTGAGCTACTTAGAATATCTTCTTATAAGCCTTCCATTTCAATCATCCCTAAATAATATTCTCATTACCCCATCATGCATGCCTTAAGCTGAGGGAGCTAGTGGTAACTAATCTGCTTTTAAAAAGAATCCTCTCTGCAGTAACGTAATACTAATTAAATGTTTCTCTTTCCATAACAGAAAATCTGCCAAGATGCTGACAACAAACGCGAGGATATGAAGTGGTTGGTCAAGACATTGGACTCTCTGCTTAGCTACGCTACCGAAGATGAGGCCAATCTGGAGCAGAAGAAACTGGAAGACCTGATCGCTCGCTACAAGAACCTCATACCCACAATTGAGATCACCATGGTGAAGACGGAAGTTTTCTCCAAGTGCTACACCTACCGCCGTGAAGTCCACGAGGTGGTGTGCCTACTCAGCAAGGTCAAGGATCAGACGGCCAATATACCAGCTCCCGATAGTCTGGAGCGTGTGAATCGCCTGATTGAAGAGCAGCAGTATGCCATCAATCAGCTGGATCACCAGCGTCCGCACATCATGTCTATGCTACAGAGAGGACGTGATCTCATCAAGGATGTGCACGCCCCGGCCTTTGTAAATACCGAAGTGAAGAATCTGGAGACTGGATGGAATCAGGCGTACACTGAAACCTCCGACAAACTACAGGCCCTCAAGGGCACCCAGGCTGTTTGGAGCGAGTTCGTGGACCAGAAGAACGACATCTTCTCCATGTTGCAAACCGCAGAGACGGAGCTTCGTTCGTTGACACCACTGCAAACCGATCCCAAGAACGTTAGCCAGGATCTGAAGTCCAAGAGAGATTTGAATGTGCAATTGCAGCAGGCATCCCATCAACTTTTGCCTAAGCTGCATGCTCTCAAATCGGAACTTGCTCCTCTGGCTGCCGCCGACAAGCGTCCCATTCTGGAGAAGGAAGTCACGGAGGTGGAGAAGATGTTCTTCAACACCATGGAGCATGTGAAGGATCGCGTCGGCTATCTGGAGGACTACAGTGCCAAGTGGAACAACTACAAGACACGCCTGGCCGAACTGCAGGAATGGGCCAACAAGGTGGCGCCCAAGAACATCGAGGCCCTTCAGTCGGAGGATCTCACACCGGAGGAGCGTGTGGTCAAGGTGCAGGCCTTCAAGCGCGTCCTTGGGGATCGCATGAAGCAACTGGATCTTCTGGCCGCCGATGCCTCCGAGTTGGCGCCCAAGGAGGGCAACATTGCCGAGGCCAAGCGACTCAAGGGCGAGATTACCAAGCTGCAGGAGGTCCTCAGTGCCATCAATCGCAACGTGGACCATCAGGCACAGGCTGTGCAGGAGGATCTCGTGAACTGGCAGCAGTTCCAGGCCGGTCTGCAGCAAATCAAGCCAGCCGTGGAGCAAAGCGAAGTCAAGGTAAATAATGTAGTTTCTAAGCCCATCTCCCTCGAAGAAGCCGTTGCCATGCAACAGAATGCCCAACAATTCGAGACACAGTGCCAGGAGCAATTGGACAAGCTCCATGGCATATCAAACATCAGTCATAAAATGTTATGTAAGACCAATGCCCCCGATGAATTGGATGCCATGCATTCGCGTTGGACGGCCGTCCATGAGAACGCCAAGCAGGCGAGCTCCAAGCTCGAGAAGTTGGTGGCCAATTGGAAGTCCTTTGACGCCGATGCCGCCAAGCTCGAGGATTGGGTTGGCCAGGGTGAGCAGCTGATGTCCCGACGTCCAGCTGTTCTGAATACCCCACACATTGATAAGCTCGAAAAGGAGCTGGTCAAGCTGAAGTCCTTCAACAACGAGATCTCGCAGCAGCAGGCGAAGCTCGTGACTCTGGGTCAGAATGCCGATCAGATTAGTTTGCACTTGGCTCCCGAAGGAGCAGCGGCTTTGAAGGATCGGGTAAACCAAATGAAGGGCAAGTTGCAGAAGCTCTCGGAAGCCACTCGCGGTCACATCAACGAAGTTTCCGATGCCATTATATCGCGGCAGGACTTTAATGCCAAATTGGTTAACTTCTCCAACTGGATGGAGCAGCTTCGTAATCAGGTTACCCAAGTGGAGGAGATCAACCCAGAGCGTGTTGAGACCAGTCTCCATGTTATTCACGCCCTGCTTCAGGAACATGCCGATAAGAAGCCAAGCTTTAATGCCATCTACGATGAGGTTAAGCAGTTGGCTTTGGGAGCCACTCCCGAAGAGTCGAATGCCCTGAATGATGCGTACACCGCTTTGGTGGTGAACTACCAAAACCTGGAGACCAATATGCTGCAAAAGAAGGCCGCTTTGGAGAAGTGGACTGAGCTGCTTGGCTGGAAGAACGACACAGAGTCGCATTTGAACTATCTGAAACATCAGCTGGACAAACCGGAAGGACCCGCTGCCGAGGAGCTCGCGAAGGTCATCGATGAGATCGATAATCTGGGTCAGGGCATTGCCTACTGGAAGGGTCAGGCCAAGGAGATTGACGAGAATCCGGCCATCCAATTGAGAGATGCCCTGTCCCGCCGTCCACTGATTGCCACCCAAATTGTTAACGATGTGGAGAACAAGCTGGAGAACCTAAAGCTACGCTCGCAGAACCAACAGCAGCAAATCCAACAGATGACCGTACGCAAGGACAAGTTCCACGCCCTGGAGCACAACTTTGGTCAGGCTCTGCAGGAGAATCGCGCCAAGCTAGACGAGATTCTCAGCCAGCATCCCACACTGAACAACATCGATCAGATCATTGCCGATTTGGTCGCTCTGAATGAGGCTTTGAAATACCAGGCGGATCTGAAGAATCGCATCCATGACGAAGGTTCTTTGCTGATGCGTGAGGATATTGCCAGCATGCCTGCCATTCAGGAGAGCCTTCTTGTCATGGACAAGAACTATGATTCTCTGCAGAACGAGATTGCCGATCGCATTCAAAAGTACAACCTAATTAGCCAGGCTCTTAGGGAGTATGCCGATTCCAAGGATAAGTTCTCCAAGGAATTGAAGAAGGCAGAGGATTTGTTCAATGCCATACCGCAACAGCCACGTGACGAAACCGAGCTCCATCAGGCTTCCGAGAAGACCAGGAAGACCATGGAGCAGTTGCGCAAATCGAAGCTCAGTTTGGATGAACTCGAGCGTCGTGGCAACAATGTAGGCAAGCTATTCAGTGCCATTGGAGAGCCAATTCCACAGGAAGTGCCTCAGGAGGTAACAGCGGCCAAACAGCACTGGCAGGATCTGCACGACAAGACAGCGAAGAACGCACATGTCTACGAGACTGAAGCCGTCATTTGGTCACAGATCGAAGATGCTAAGAAGGACCTGCTACCCTGGTTGTCCGAAACAAATCAGGGACTCTGCGATGCTGCGGATAACTCGATTGAAATTGAGTTTGGACCCATGCGTCTGAGCAAATATCGCACGGAGTTGCCTTCCTACCAGGCTCTGAAAGATTCGATTGTGGAGAAAACAAATGACTTGGTGAAGATCAACAAAGGCGCAGAGATTCCCGCTCTATCGGCTCTCAATAAACTCTTGACTGATCAGTTCGCCGAAGTTAGCAACAATGCTGATCGTTTGAGTGCTGTTACCACTTCCTTTAACGATCAGGAACAAGAGTTGCGCAAACGCTCGAAGGAAGCCGGCGAGCGGGTAAGCAAACTCCGTGAGCAGCTGATCAAGTGCGACGACATGTCCGGTGATAATAACAAAATCATGGAGCGTCTTCTGCAATGCCGTGCCTTGCGTGGTGAACTCGATAATAGCGGAAACGAAATAGACAATATCAAACAAAAGGTCGATGAGTTGCGTAACCTGTATCCCACTTTCAGTGAGTCCATCATACCCAAAGAACTGAACAATGTGCAGAAACGCTATGAGAACGTTGATCTGTATGCTAAAAAGATTGAGAGTTCCCTGCTGCAGTTCCTCAAGAAATTCCATGCCGATAAGGTGGGCATGCTGAAGCGTATCATAGCCACCCAACGCGAGAAGGTGGCCTGGTGTCAGCCAGAGTCTTCTAGTGACAAATACAACCTGGACGTGAAGAAATCATCGTTGCAGGAGGTCAGCAAGAGCATTGATGACTGCAAGGCGCGACATGCTGAAACACTGAAGTCACTTGAGATGTTGAAGGCTGTGGAATCGCCGCAAAACCTGGCCGAGCTCACCAACGATGCTGAGTTGTTGCGTAAGGATATGCAGGCTCTGCAGGATAGCTTTGACAAAATCAAGGGAATCCTCGACGAGAACGTCGATTTGTGGTCGCAGTATGAGCAATCGAATGAGCAGATTTCCAACTGGTTGCGTGACGTTGAAGGACGCGTCAAGGCCGAAACTAGCATTCAAGTTAATCTACCCGAGGTGCCACAGAAACTTCAGGAATTGTCTATCCTCCAACAGGATGTTTTGGCCCATGAGCCCATAATTAATAACCTTGAGCAGACGTCCCAGCAGCTAATTGAAAAGAACCCAGAGGCGAGAATTGGTCAGTTTGTCACTCATTTGGTGCAGCGTTATCAGGCTGTGGCCAAGGCACTGACTGGCTACATCGACAAGATCCGTAGTGCCCAGTTGTCAAATGCAAACTTTTCCAAGGCAGCCAAGGACTTCAATGAGTGGTTCGGCGATGCTAAGATCGAGTTCCAAGAACTGGCCCGCATGGGATCGCCTGGATCTTCTTCGGCCACAGCTCAGCAACTGCAGACTGTTAAGAACTACATCAAGACCTTCGATAATGGCCAGGTTCTGCTGAACAACGCCGTGGATATTGGTGAAGCCCTCTATCCGGTGGTTTCCCCTGAGAATCGCGAACGTATCCGTTCTGATCTGCGCCAAATGCGCGAGAAGTTTGACTATCTGCGCGATGAGGCCAATGCATTCATGCAACAGGTTGAGGGTGTTTTGATTCAGAAGACTTCCATCGAAGAAAGCTACACTCAGGTTTCGCACTACCTCAACGAATCGAAGGCAAAGGTTCCCGCCGGTGACGAATTGTACCCAACTTTGGCCACCAAAAAGGCTGCTCTTCAGAACTACAAGACCCAGCTGCAGGAGATTACCCTCCACAAGAATGCTCTGAAGCAATTGCACGACAAGGCTGTGACCCTGTGTGATGATGAGTCGGAAAGGAAAACCGAAGAGTCCATCCAAGAGTATAACACACTCTCCAAGAAAATTTCCGATAGGATTACAACCGTGGGCAATCATGTGGTTAAGCATGAGGCTTACGATCAGGTTCTAGAAAAAGCCCAAGATTGGCTTAATACCATTAAATCCGAAGCCATTGACATTCTCAACGAGACAACATTCGAGAAGGAGGGCGCCGAGGAGAAACTGTTAGTTGTGGAAAATCTATTGCAACACAAACCAGAGGGTGACTCCATTTTCGACACCTGTCACAAGTTATTGGAAACGGTGCTCACTCAAACCCATCCCAATGGTCATCCAGCCCTGCTCAAGGGTTTCGAGGAACCGAAGCAATCTTGGGAGGACTTCATGACTCTGTGTCAGGATTCGTTGGTAAAACTGAAGCAACTCTGCTCGAAATGGGATGAGTTTGACACGATTATTGAAGAGCTGGACAACTGGATGAAGAATGTCGAGGCGGTGGTCAAGAACCAGAACCTAAAGAGCACAGCCGAAGCCAAAAAGGCTCATTTGAAGCAGCTACAGGACATCGCCAAGGATATTGAACGTCGTGGTTCGGCTATCAATGAGCTAATGGATCAAGGTCGTGAGATTGAAGGTGAAACCGATTTGAACCTTAAGTTGTCTCGCCTGAATACTCGTTATCAGACCCTGAAAAATCTATGCAAGGAATCGATTGCGAAGTATGTGAACTATGTGAAGGATCACGAAAGCTTCGATAACGATTTCGATGCCTTCAAGCAGAGTCTTCAGTCGTCGGTCGATGAATTAGCTAAGACCAATGAAATTGTCGGAGATCAAAGCGTGCTCCAGGATCAGCAGAATAAACTGCGTGAGATGTCCGACAAGCGTATTTCGGATTCCACACTCTTCGAGGGTCTCATCGACCGTGGCGAGAAGCTTTATGGTCACACCAGTCCGGAAGGCCGTGAAATCATCCGTCAGCAATTGCGTTCTCTGCGCACTCTGTGGGACAACTACACCGATGACTTGAACTCGGCCACGCAAAAGATTGATCAGTGTCTGCTGCAGTTCAATGAGTTTAGCATTGCCCAGGATCAGCTTACCAAGTGGCTGAAGGATGTGGACAAGGCCATGCAGAGTCACACCGAACCGAAAACGACGCTGCAGGAGAAGCGAGCTCAACTGCAGAACCACAAGCTGCTTCACCAGGAAATCACCACGCACAATGTTCTTGTCGATAATGTCTGCGACAAGGCACAGATACTGGTGGACCAGATCAAGGATAACTCGTTGAATGTTTACCTGGCCTCGATCAAGCAACTTTTCCAGAGCATTGTCCAAAAGTCCGATGAGATCCTGCACAATCTGGAGAATTGCGTGCAGAAGCATAATGAGCTTAACAATGCCCTTTCTTCGGCTAAGACATGGATCTCGAATGAGAAGGCCAAGTTGCTGGAGTGCGACGATGCCTATGGCGAGAAGGCGGACATTAAGCGCAAGATCGAAACTTTGGGACAGTTGGCTCAGAATAAACCACAGGCCATGAAGTTGATCAGCGACATACGTGATCTGTTTGAGAAGGTAAAGGCCACGACCTCCGAAAAGGGCAACGAAGTGCTGGACAAGGAAATCGAGGAACTGGAGACCACCATGAAGAGTCACTTCGATGACATCGAGGGCATTGAGGGCAAGCAGAAGGATGTTCTCGCCCAGTGGGACAAATTTGAAAAGGCGTTGGAAGAACTCACCAAGTGGTGCCGCAATGCAGAGGCTGTTTTCCGTGAGCAGCAGCTGAAGTCCACGCTCCACGAGAAAGTGGAACAGCTGGAGAAGTACAAGATCCAAAGGGAATTGATACTCCAAAAAGAGAAGGAAATCGATGCCTTTGGGGATGCTGCGCATGCCCTGCTCAACAACTGCGGAGCGGATCGTCTGAAGACACTAACCACTCAAATTACCAATCGCTATCAGCTGCTACAGGTTCTCAGCAAGGAAGTGGTTAACCGCTGGTCCAACCTGGTCGACGATCACCAGTTCTTCCAAGACAAGTACAACGAGGTGGACTTGTGGCTGCAACCCATTGAAAAGCAGATGGAGAAGGTACTTTTGGATGAACCCACCCAGAGTTCGAACATTCTGCAAGTGCTGCTCTCTGAAAAAGAGCAAGCAGAGAGCTTATTCGCTGCTTTGAATGCAGCTGGAGAAAAGGCTCTGCCAGAGACCTCAACTCAGGGAAGGGAGAAGATTCGCAAGGACCTGCGTGATATCCGCGATCGTTGGGACAAACTGGACGAGGGTATTCGCAACCTGGAGAAACGTCAGGAGGCCCAGGGTGTTCAGCTCTCTAGCTACCAGGATATTCTCAATCAAACAGTTAACTGGTTGGATCAAGTGGAGAAGCTTCTGCACAATGAAAACCCATCCAGCTGGACCAGCGCCCAGGAAATCCGCTCGAAATTGTACAAGTACAAGGCTACCAACCAGGACATCAATTCCCACAAACGCATCGTTGAGGCAGTGAATGAAAAGGCGGCCGCCCTTCTGGGCAGCGCAGCTCCTGCCAATGCGGATGAGATCTCCAAGGCAGTGGCTGAGGTGAATAAGCGTTATGAGCAAGTGGGTCAAGACTGTGCCAAATTGGTTGCGGATCTTGACGATGCCTTCGATGTGTACCAGCAGTTCAGTGAGTTGCAGAAGGCCCAACAGGACTACCAGAAGAATCTTTGGGATCGCCTCACCGGTTACTCTGACTACTCGGGCAACAAAGCAGCCCTGCAAGCACGTCTTCAAAAGATCAACGAGATTCAGGATGCTTTGCCGGAGGGAGTGGCCAAACTGAAATCCCTCGAGGATCACATTGAGCAACAGGCCAGTAATATCCCCGCCCGATCAAAGGAGGCAATGGCCCGAGATCTGGCAAATTTGCATGCTGATTTCGAGAAATTCGGTGCTTCTTTGAGCGACGTGAAGAGTGGTCTAGAGAATCGTCTTCAGCAATGGAATGACTACGAGATCAACTTGGATCGCCTGATCAATTGGTTGGGTGAGGCGGAGAATGCTCTGAAGAACTACAATCTGAAATCGTCGTTCGAAGAGAAGGAGGATCAATTAAATCGCTTCCAGTCCTTGGCCCAGAACTTGCGTCAAAACGAAGCCGACTTTGACAAGATGAAGGACGATACCTCGGAGCTAGTGCAAAGTTCGGGTGAAACCAGGATTGCCGTAAATGTGCAGCAGGTTTCCTCCCGCTTCCAGTCGATCCAGGCAACCGCCAAGGAGATTCTCAAGAAATGCGAGCAGGCTGTCCAGGACCATGGCCACTTCAATGATAAGTACAAGCAGTGTGCGGATTGGTTGGCTAATGCCCAGGCCCGTTACGATGATTGCTGTGACTTGTCCACAGTAGCGTCTCGTGACGATCTTCTGAAGAAACAAATGGTTATCCAGGAGCTTTTGGCTCAGCAACCCACTGCTACCCAGCTTCTCAATAGTACCGTTGAGCTGGGCGAAAAGTGCTATGGATCCACGGCAACCGAGGGTCGCGAAGCCATTCGCAGTCAGCTGGATGATCTGACATTCGATCAGTTGTTTGATAACATTGCCATCACAGCGAGAAAGATTCAGGATAAAATTGCCAAATGGTCTGGCTTTGATGAGATTGCCGACAATCTGAAGAGCTGGTTGGATGAAACGGAGAATTCTCTTCCAGCTGATATCGAGCTAAAAACCACTCTGGATGAGAAACGCACTAAGCTGCAAACCTATCGTGACATCCTGAACGATATCAACAACCATCAGGTGGAGGTGGGTAATCTTCAGGAGATCGCCGCCAATCTGCCAGAGAAAACGGACCTTGTGGATCAGATACTCAAGGACATTTCTGATCGCTTTGGAAAGCTTCAAAAGCGTGCTCAGAACTACGTGGAACGCTATGAGGGTATTGTAAGTGCCCATCAGCAATACTCCAAGGCTGTGATGGATGCTCAAGAGTTTATCGATGCCACCCTGAATACGGTTCACTACTGGGGCGATCTGGATCTGGAACAGATCTCACTGCACACGAACCTCGATCGCCTGAAGAATTTGAAGGCCAGTTTGGCCGACGAATTCCCTCGCGTTGATCAAGTGAGGGCTTTGGGCGAGAAGGTCATTCCGGGTACAGTGGATGTGGGCCAGGTCAACATCAAGTCTCAGATCGACACCACTCAGCAGGAATGGGAGAGTCTGCTGGCCACCATCAGCTCGACCATTGAAGCTATTGAAGCGCGTCTTCAACACTGGTCGGAGTACGAGCAATTACGCGACCAATGTTTGGCTTGGATTCGTGATACGGACAATAACCTTCACGCCATCGACCTAAAGGAGGATCTTCCGAAAAAGCGCGCTCAGTTGGATGCACTAAAGGCTCTTCAAGGAGACGTGCGCGCCAAGGAATTGGAGGTTGATAATGTCACGGAGAAGGCTCAAACCTTGCTGAAGGGTCCTTCCAGCACTCGTGCCTCGGGTCCCGAGCTGGTGACCAAGTACCAACAGATCTTCCACAAGGTCAAGGAGCTCAACAACCGTTGGCAGCAGTATGTCACGTCTCATGAAGATTTCGACAACGCCATTTCCGATTGCTCTTCTTGGATCAATGACATCAAGGAGAAGTTGGATTACTGCTCCGACATGTCCTCTATGAGTCCCAAAGAACTGGATAAGAAGTTGGCCACTATTCAAGATGTTATTTTGCTGAAGGACGAAGGTTCTGCCCGAGTCTTGAAGATTCTTGAGCAGGCTCAGCATGTGCTGGCCAACACAGCCCCCGGAGGTCATGAAGCCATCAATAAGGATCTTACCGATCTACAGGATCTCTGGTCAGGAATTGCTCTGCGCATCATGGATGTCAAATCCAATCTGGATGACTCCATCACTCAATGGTCCGGTTTCCTGGATCAAGTGCAAAATGTTCGCAAGTTCAATGAGTGGCTAGATGGTTTGGTCAAGGAATTGAGTGAGCATCAAACTACGATGACTGAGAAACGAGCGCAGTTAGATCGGGTTAAGTCTACAGAGGAGAAGGTTCGCGTAGAGAAGATCGATGTGGATGCCCTGAAGATCCAAGCCAAGGAGATGATTGCCAGCGGTCAACAAAGTCAGGCTGCCTTCCAGGCTCAAAAGGTGCTCGATACATTCGATGAACTCTTCGCCAAGACCCAGAAGCTGCTGTCAGATCGTCAGGATCAGTACAGGGATCATCGATTGTTCAAGGAGGCCTACGATGATTTGGTTAGCTGGATTGGACGCGCCCGCGAGAAGTTCCCCTCATTGAAACAGAGCAGTTTGAGCGATAAATTGGCCATCGAAAATGCTGTCCAAGCTACGGAAGCTCTTCTCAACAAACAAGCTCAAGGTGAACTTCTGGTCGAGCACTTGGTCCACACTGGAGAAGTAGTGCTGGCCAGTACCTCATCTCAGGGTCAGGAGATCATTAGGAATGACATTCGTGCCTTGCGCGACAGCTTCGAGGGTTTGTTCCGTGAAATTAACCAACAGAAGGAGAACCTGGAGGTCACAATGGTGCAGTGGCGAGCCTATAAGGAGGAGTATGAACGGCTGATGGAATGGTTGCAGCAGATCGATATCCTTGTAAAGAATCACAAGCTTAACCTTTGCCCCAATCTTCCTGATAAGGAGAAGCAGGTGGTTGATATGAAGGAAGTGATGTCACGTCTGGAGAAAGGCAAGGATGACATCGATAAATTCAATGCTTCGGCTGCCAGTTTGCTAAAGTCCCATCTGGATACCTATGTGAACAATCAGCTGAGGCACTTGGGTTCCGTCTATCAAGTCCAGGTAAACCTAGCCAAGGACGTTCTCAAAAAGGTGGAGACCAACCGCGATCAGCATCGTGAATACGATGCTAATATGAAATCTGCCAAGGATTGGATAGCCAATGCCAAGGCCACAATTCAGTCGGCGGGCGAGGGAGCTGGTTCCAAGGAGGCTCTGCAACGTCGCCTGGAGCAGATCCAGGATTTGATTCGCAACCGTGAGTTTGGACAGAATTTGGTTCATACCGCCATCAATAATGGCGAAAAGATTATCCGTAACACTCGGTCCGATGGACGTGATGCCATCAATAGCGAGATGAAGGAACTCCAAACCGAATGGGATCGTCTGGTGAAGAAAATGTCCACAGCTAAGGTTCAGTTGGAGACTAACCTCTTGCAATGGGCGGATTACAGCTCAAGCTACTCGCAGCTGCAGCAATGGATTACCGACAGGGAGGCCAAGTTGCAGCAGGCCTGTGAACAGAAGATCGTTAAATCCAAGAGGGGTCAACCTGGTCTCAGCAGTGGTTTGAGCGAACGTAAGGCCAATCTCCGTCAGACGAATAACATTGTCCAGGACATAGTGTCCTTTGAACCCATGATTCAGTCGGTTACCTCGAAGGCTTCTGTGCTGCAGCAAGGTGCCCCGGGCACTGAGATCTCCGATAAGTACGAGAATCTCACCAAGCAAGCCAAGGATCTGTATGAAAAGCAGAAGAACACCATCGAAAGCTATCAGTCCTTGATTGATGCGGGCAATGAGTTTGCAACCTGGCTGAGAAATGCCAAGGAACGATTGAGCAAGTGCTCTGAGCCCACCGGAGATAAACAGGCTTTGGCCGAGAAGACCCACCAACTGAAGATTCTGCAGGGTGAGCTGCCCGAAGGTGCTCAGAAACTGAAGAACGCTCTGGAGCAGGGTGAAATTGCTTGTCGCAGTGCAGAGCCCGAGGATTGTGAGATCATCGAACAGGAAGTGGCCCTTCTACAAGAGGAATTCGATGCGTATAGGGAGGCCCTTAACAAGGCCAAGGATTATCTGGAGGTGGGCATTGTCAAGTGGTCGGACTACCAGGATCAGTACACCGAAGCTTTGGAGTGGTTAAGCAAGACCGAAGCCTTGGTGCAGTCCTACAACAAGTTGCAGGACAGTTTGATCCAGAAGAAGGTGGTGCTCGAGCAATTCCAGGGACTTCTGCAGAACCTTTTCGACTGGCAGAAGACTCTGGATGATCTGAACATGAAGGCCCAGGTTCTGCTGGAGACTTGCTCCGATACAAGGATCAGTAATGCCATAATGCAGTTGACCACCAAATACAATGCTCTGCTGACCCTGGCGAAGGAAGTGATGCGTCGCCTAGAAATGCACTACCAGGAGCATCAGCAGCATCACAGTCTGTATGAGGAGTGTCAATCGTGGATTGAGAAGACCCGCGAGAAGCTGTCCGAGTGTGAACAAATACCCGGAACTCTTAACGAAGTTCAAATCAAGCTGAACACAGTGAAAAATCTTCGCCAAGGTTTTGAAACTGGTCAGAACAAGTTGCGTTACCTTTTGGAATTGAAGGAAAAGGTGATTATGAACACCGAACAAAATGGAGCAGCCAAGATCCAGGAAGATACCGAACAACTTAAACAGGACTTTGACAAACTTTTGGTGGATCTCAACGATGTTCGCCAGAAATTGGCCAATCGCCTTGCCCAGCTGGAGGAGATCTTTAAGCTCTACAAGATCCTGGTCGAATGGCTGGAGGATGTGGAGCCGAGTGTCAAGGCCAGTGATGAGTTCCTCAATGATTTGAGTGAAAAGCGCGCAGCATTGGAGAAATTCCGAGTAATTCAGCGTGACATCAATGGCCACAACGATATTGTGGAGAAGATTAATCAGCGTTTGAAGGAGGATAACAGCTTGGATCTGAACGACTTCCAGCCGGGTCTGGGCAAGTTCGATGAGCTGCAGTCGGTGGTGAATAAGATCATCGAATCGCTGGAGAACCAGGTGAACAGCCATGAGAAATACAAGCAGGCCTACAATGAGCTGCAGGATTGGCTGCGTCGCACTCGCATCGAAGTTGAGCAGTGTGCCGACTGCCATGGCGAGAAGGATCAAGTGGAGAGCCGTCTCAATCGATTGGGAGATCTGCAGTCCGCCTCGTTGGAGGGCAAATCCCTGCTGGAAGCCTGCGAAGAGCTCAGCCAGGCGGTGATTGCCACCAGCGGTAGCGAGGGCCAGGACAATGTGGCCCAGGAGATCAAGCATCTCACCTCGGAATGGGAAACCCTACAGGCTTTATCCCGCGATGCTCGCAGCAGTTTGGAATCTTGCCTAGCCGCCTGGCAGACCTTCCTGCAGAAGTTCAACAAGATCAACCTTTGGATCGAAACGATGAGCAAGCGCGTTACCAAATCCCAGGAAGGCGAAAACAAGACCCCCGAAGATTTGGTTAATGCCAAGGTAAGAAATCTTCGTCAAGTCGAGATCTCGCAACTGTCGCACGCACCTCTAACCAAAAAAAAGTACTAAAAATGTAATCGAATATATATCTATATAGCCAAAGCGCGCACGTAAAGTAGAACTCACCGACAACAAAATTTGTATCTAAATACCTCGTACCGTGAGAAATTAAATCATTAACTTAACCCACACTAATCACTACTGCTAACTTTTCAGCTAATCACTTTGTAATCTCAATTGCAGCTAATCATTTACACAGACACTTGTCTAATGCCTAATTGCTTTATGTGCTTTCAATGTGCATTGTTAGATTGTGAAACTAAAGTATTTTTTTCCCCTATAGAAACTGCTTGAGGAAGTGCTGGCCGAGAAGGATAATGTGGAGGACTTAAATGATAACTGCGAACTGCTCATGGAGCAGAGTGCCTGCACTCGCATTCGAGATCAGACCATCGAAACTCAGGCCAACTACACCAAGCTCTTGACATCCGCTCAGGGATTGGTGGCCAAAATCGAGAAGAATCTATCCGATCACACTGAGTTCCTCAACTACAAGAAGGAAATGGACGCCTGGATAGAAAAGGCCCAACAGGTCCTGGACGATTGCTCCACCGATGGCGATGCCGCTATTATTGCCCAGAAACTGGATACCGTCAATGTGAGTTTTTATAGTATCTAAAAAATTAAAATTTTGCAAGATTTTGTCTATCAAATCTCAGTATTTATTCTCGATTTATTTCCAAATTTTGGTTTTATTTATTTTTTTTTTTTTATTTATTTTTTTTTGTCCTATTTTTAAAGAAAATGCTCTTTTATAGTTTTTAATAGATATTTAATTCAAATTATTTCCAAATGTTGGTTTTATTTTTATTATTTTTTTTTATTTCTTTTTTATTACTGTTTCTTATTTTTAAAGCAAAGGCCCCTTTATAGTTGTTAATAGATATAGATATGTAATTCAAATTACATTTATTTTGCAGTCTTTGGCTTCCCGTCTGCCCGAGGGTCAGCATTTGTTGGCTTTGGTGCAGGATGCCTACTCGAAGGCGTCGAACATCACGCCCGAGGATAAGCAGGAGAAGTTGCGGGAACTGATGACCAAGGTCCGTGAGGATTGGGATGCCTTGGGTCTGGCGGTCAAGCAAAAGTTGAGCGATCTTAAGCAGGCACAAAATCGTTGGAACGACTTTGCTGCCAACAAGGATAAGCTTGAGAAGTGGCTGAATGAAACGGAGAAGACTCTGAAGGTGGCACCCGAGACCAAGGGTGAACTAAGCGAAATGAAGACTCTGCTGGAGCGCTACAAGACTCTTTCGAATGAACTGAAACAGAAGGGAAGCGAACTGGAGCAATTGCAGTCGGAGGCTCGTAATTTGGGTACCGAAGTGGATGCAGTGAATCGCTTGCAATCCCGATGCGATAAGCTCAAGAACGATTGCTCCGCTCACATTGCTCTGCTGGAACAGGAGATGTTCGACTATAATGCCTACCACCAGAGCCTCCAGGATGTTGAGAAGTGGCTGCTGCAGATCTCCTTCCAGCTGATGGCCCACAACTCGCTGTTCATCTCGAATCGCGAACAAACCCAGGAGCAGATCAAACAGCACGAGGCCTTGTTGGGTGAAATTCAAAAGTATCAGACCAATTTGGATGACCTGAATGCCAAGGGTCAGGCGCAGATTAAGCGCTACGAGACCTCAACTCCGGCCATTCGTCCCACAGTCGAGTCTCAGCTGAAGAATATCCAGGACAGCTATAACTCGCTGCTGCAAACCTCGGTGCAGATCAAGAACCGCCTGCTCGAATCGCTGGCCAAGTTCCAAGAGTACGAGGACACTTTGGATAGCATTATGCGTAATCTGGAGACATATGAGCCGATTATTCAGACCGAACTTGATGCCCCGGCTACCAGTCTGGAATTGGCCCAAAATCAACTGAGATGTGCCCAGGAAATGCAGAATAAACTGAACAACGAAAAGTCCCGACTGGCAGCTGCCGTTCAGGCTTGTGAGGCAGCCACTGCCTCAATAAGTCGTCCCAGTTCTCCGCTGGAAACCGCCATGCAGGCCATCCCCGAAAGGGAACTTATCGTGCGCGCCAAGCTCGAAGATCTGCTGGATCAGGTAGGACCAACATTAAATCTGTATTGTAGTTTCACTTTTAATAGTTAAAAATTCTGTAATTATAATTTCTCAAAAAGAATGGAAGTATTGTGTACACACAAAAAAGCATATCGCCGTAAAATCGATAATCGCATGTAAATTTCTGGTTATGCTATAAGCATATCGCTTTAACATGACATACTCATTTCGAGCATATCAAAGCTAAAGTTGATATTACATAATGTTAAATCGATATGCGTTTCATATATATTTTATTTGAGTGTAGTATAGTAGTTTAACTGCTTTTAACTGTATTTTTTGAAATACTCATATATTCCCATTACATTTCTTAAATTATATCACTTCGAAAACTTTTAAAACGTAGAAATTCTAGACTTCCATTCTATTTTCCTTTTATTATCCTATATTATTTTCTAACAAACGTCTTGTTCTTTTTATTAATCCCTTAACCACCACCACAAAACCCAACACTGCCCTAACTTTTGTTGATTTTGCTACACTTCCCGTAAATGTTGTAAAATGCACTACCCATCAAAAAAAAAATCGCTATGCCTTGCGCTTTGCTGCTATAAAGAAACCGCCTCCAAAGACTCGGAGCTCAACTGAAGATGTCAACAGAGATGATGATGATGAAGACGAGGATGATGTTGAGATTCAGGTTGAGCTCAGCGATGTGAATGAGGCGCTTTTGGATCCGATTGCCCACGAGCGTGTCAGCAACTATCGTCGCATAGTTCGTCTGAATAGCGCCCATGTGGGCAAGCTGAATGAATTAGTTGCTAAGGTAAGAGTAGGGATCAATAGGTGGCGGACTGCATGGCTATAAGTTTAGCAATTGCTTGTTTATTTTGTTAAAAAAACTTTTAATTTAATAACCTCTAAATGCTAATTATTTTTAATAATTCCTTTGATTTAGGTGCAATCCCACTTGGGTGGTTTGACTGCATCCGTTAGCGAACTGGAGCAACAGCAGAAGCAGCGCGCCGAGCTGCAGGATTGGGTGAAGAAGCAGCAGAGCTCTGTCTCGGATTGGACGATGCGTCCATGCAAACTCCGTCCAGAGGCTGCTCAACAGGAGCTGGTGTCCATGAACGATTTGTTGAACTCCATCGGTGACAAGCGATCGCAATTGATGCTGGAAATGACAGGATCATGTAAGTACTTTTTCATACATTTTTAGGTGGCTCAAAAGTCTCAATCACCTGACCCTTTTTATGTTTTTTAATTTCCCAATTATTAGTGGGCGATGAAGACACCGATCTGGATGACAACATCGATAAGCTCGAGTCGGAGCTCATGGATGCCATTGCCAAGAAGCAGGCTGGCCAGAATGTAATTGATGGCTATCGCCAGGGAATGGCTGATGTCCAAAACTGGTTCGATACCCTGATCAAGCGCATGGACGTTCTGGATCGCGGTTCTGGTCTGAATTGTGCCCAGAAAACGGCGGCCATTAATGAGATCAAGAACGAATACGAGCTGCAGGGTCACCCCAAGATTCAGGAACTTAAGGGCAAGGCTGCGCAGGTGGCGGAGGTCATTAGCAATCTGGATGGTCAGCAGGTGGAAGAACAAATGAAGTCACTGGATCGTCGCTTTGCCGATCTTGGCAAGCGCATCGATCGCAAGGCCCAACTTCTGGACGTGACCAACAAGGGAGTGGAGGGAGCCAAGGGCGAGATTGATCAGCTCCAGAATTGGGTGAAGCAGCAGATCGAGGAGTTGCAGGCGCCCACTCCTCTGGGCTACACACCCAAGGATGCCGAGGCCAGGCAGCAGAAGATCAAGAGCCTGATGAAGGATGCCGAGGCCAAGCAATCGCTGGCCGATGTCCTGGAGAAGCGAGTGGCCAATATGCAACAGGAGTTGGAGCCCGTTGAATACTCCCAGCTGGAGTCCGCATTGCGTAATCTCAACTCGGAGAATCGCAATCTATCCGGAGTCCTCAAGGCTGAATTGGATCGTGCTCTGGAGGCCAGCAAGGCTCGCAAATCCCTGGAGAACGATCTGGACAAGGCGCGCCAGTGGTTGAAGACCAAAATCTCCGAGGTGCGTAAGCTGCCCGTGTATCACCCACTTACCTCCACTGAGATCGAGAAGAAGATCCAGGAGAACCGGAAATACGATGATGATGCCAAGCAGTTTAACGATAGCGTTTTGACCGACGTTCAGCGACAGGCTGCCAACATAATGAAGGATTGCGATGACGCGGATAAGGCTGCACTGCAGCAGATCCTGGATGAAATCGCCGCCGATTATCAGACCCTAAAAGATGAAAGCAGCAAGAGAGGCAAGTCCCTGGATGATCTGCTGCAGGGTCGCAAGGCTTTCGAGGATTCGATGAAGAACATGGGCGATTGGCTGAACGAAATGGAAACCGCCACTGAGGGTGAGTTGCGTACCACTAGTCTGCCCGTTTTGGAGGAGCAGTTGGCACACTATAAGAAACTCCTCAATGATGCCGAGAATAAGGGAGGTCTTATTAATGACGTGTCTGAGCAGGGAAAGAGCATCCTGCCCACTTTGAGCAATGCCGATAAGCTGAAACTCAACGACGATATCAAGAACATGAAGGATCGTTATGGCAGGATCAAGAATACCATCGATGATCGCGTGAATGCCCTGGGTGATCACATCAAGAAGTACAAGGATGCCAAGAGCAGGCTGGCCGATTGCAGTCAATTCCTGGGCACCATTCAGCAGAAGCTCAGGGAACTCAATCGCCCGATTGGCTCGAGGATTGAGGATGTTCAGGATTTGTTGGGCGCCTATGAGGGAATACTCAAGGAACTCAAGGACAGCAAGAGCAAGATGGGCGACATGCAAATGGACGATTTGCCCGAGCTGCAGAGCATTTTGGCCCAGCAAGATGATATGATTAAGCTGATCGAAGATCAATTGGCCCATCTGCGCCAGCTACTCATGCTCCGCGAACAGTTTATCGCTTTGATTAACGAGATTATTGCCTTTATCATGAAGTACACCGATGTTATCATTGATATTGAAAACTCACCGGATAGTCTGGAGGATAAGATCAACAAGTACGATGATGTCATCGTGAAGATTCAGGAGTGCGAGGGTGTTTTGGCCTCGGCCAATGACAAGGGCCAAAAGATTGCCTCCGAGGGCAATGCTGCCGATAAGAATAGCATTACGGAGCAACTGCAATCGCTGAAGAACCAACTGCAGAATCTTCGCAAGGCCGTGGAGTCGCAGCGCCAAAAGCATCAGCTGCAGCTGGAGTCCCACAAGAAGATGGGAGCCGAGCTGAGTGAAATCCTCGATTGGCTGCACAGTCATGAGGGAGCAGCTAAGTCGCGTCCCCTGTTGGATCGGGATCCCGAATCCGTTGAAAGGGAGCTGCAGAAACACCAGGCGCTCAGCCAGGACATTGAATCATATCTGGATAAATTCAATAAAATCAATAATGGTGTTAAAACCGAAATTGGCATGCCCAGTTCCCTGTTGGAAATGCTTTCCGAGGGCAGATCCTTGGTGGCTTCCCTGCCCCATGAACTCGAGGAGCGTGAAAAGTATCTGAAGAACAACCGCGACTCTCGTTTGGAGTACATGCAGTTGGTGGCCAAGTTCAATGATTGGGTCCACGAAGCCGAGTTGCGGCTGCAGAACAGCCAGCATGGCATCGACTATGAGCATCTCGTTCAGGATTTGGATGAACACAAGATCTTCTTCGGCAACGAGGCTCCCATTCGCAATCTGGTGCACAAGCAGATCCAAGAGGCTGCGGATAAGATTTGGTCCTCGCTGAACAACTACGAGCAATCGGAACTTTCGGCCGAGTTGGCTCAGTTCCAAACCAAGTTGACCAATACTTTGGCCAATGCCAAGACCCAGCAGAGCGAGTTGGAGAAGGAGGCGGAACGCTGGCGGGAATATCAGCAGTCCATCGATCGCGTCAAGGCCACCATCGAACGTACCAAATTCAGCGATGAGCCTGTCCAGAATTTGGCCGGTCTTCACTTCAACATCCAGAAGCTGTCCCACGCCATCGGCAATGTTCAGGTGAGTTTTGGAATTATTTGCGGTTTGTTTGCAGGGTCTTGAGTTCTTTTAAAGACATTTTCTTAAATAGGAGTAAAAGGTTCTTCAAGTTTAGGAGTGGGAGTAAATGGATTTTTTTTAGTTATTAAATAGTTATTTTAAAAATGTTTATTATAATGTTAATTGACATTTTCTTAAATAGGAGTAAAAGGTTCTTCAAGTTTAGGAGTAGTTATTAAATATATTATAATGTTAATTTGTTTTAAAGAAAAAAAATTTAAAAATATATTAATTTTAATTTTCTCAGTATGGAATTTTATTACAGAATTTTTATAAAATTCTATATAGTAGGTAGTATAAGCAGTAAGAAAATAAATGCATTAATTTTAGTTAAAAGGAAAATAATAGTTTTTATCCATTCTTAAAACATGTTTAAAACTATTAACAAAGTAAATTAAATGAAATGAACTGAGAAATATATGCAAAAAAAACTACAATTTCACATTTAAAAATATTTCTTATAATACATTTTTTTGTCCATTTTTTTTTTATTTTAAAATTAATGAAAAAGGGTTTAATATTTATTAATTGAAGTGTTCCACTTTTCTATGATATAAGATGAATTTCAAAATGGAAACTCAACATATGGATTCTATATGGGCCACTTTTGTGTGTATTTAGGCACTCTTTAAAATAGCCATGAATATTCAGCTGTTCGCTTGCATGCTTTGCTCATATTAGTGTGCAGCCAAAAGACCTGTTTTCCAAAAAATGACACATTGCACAAGGATGTGCCATAAACATACATATGCGAACGTATCCACTTGAGAGCAACTTTATGGAGTGGCACTGCCACAAAAAAACAACAACAAAAATCAAAGTGCATTCGTTTTGCGTCGTTTGCATTTCGTAGTCATGGTTTTGCCGGCCGGCAAAAGCAAAAAAAATCACACTCTCTCACAAACTCACTTTCAATTGCATTTGAGTGCGAATCTCTTAGGGAACTCTCCTTTCTCTTAGTGCCAGTTTGGTAATCTCTCTTCATTTCATTTATTTTTTGAGTCCATAGTTGTTTATTGAACACGTTGAGTGCCCATTTGTTTACTTTCGTAAGCTTTTACCTTGGGAACTCATTAAACTTTTAACCTACTAGTTCACTATTTGTCGGTGTGTCGGCCTCATCGAGCTTATCGTTCAGTCGTCTGTTGTCAGACTTCCAGTTCGATTATAATTATTCAAGGCATTAGCTCGATTTTTATGCTCAGCAACTGGAAAAATCAGCTGTTGTTGTTGCTGCTGCTGCTGCTGCTGCTGCCGCCAAACGAATTAAGCTCATGACATCATCAGCAGTAGCAACACTGTATCAGGCAACCAGTTTTGAGCCAGGGATGGTGTAAAGTTTGGATTGAGAAAATATTTATTACCTTTAGTATTCAATTTTTATCTTTTTTTTGAGATCTTATTATTATTATTTGAGTTTATTATTCATAATAATCTAATTCAATTTCAAATTTGTTTCGATTTAATAAGTGCTTTTTCGTATATTAAGCACAACTTACGATTACACCTAAATGAGGTTTTCATTGGTGGGTTTTCAAAAATGGATTTTTTTTTACTACTAAAGACATTATTTCCTTAAATAATATAAAAATAAAAAATTCTTTTTGATTAATACTATTAAATTAATAGAGCTAGAATTAAAGTTTCAAATGGTTTTGTCACTCTTCTTTAAAAAGAATCCATTAACTTTATAGTATTTCAAGGTCTCAAAAACCTTTGTTTTTGTTTTAGCCCTGGGTTTTCAGTGAAATATTGAGCTACAACAACAACAAGCGCACATGTTAAGTGACTTTTGTCGGTGTTTGTTGAGCGAGCTTTAAGAGCACCGGCCCTTAGGGGCTTCCTCTCTTTTATGGCTCTTTTGCACACAGCTGTTTGGTTGTTGTACTTGCAGTTTGTTTGTTGTTATTGGTTTATAGGGCAAGCCGGCAATTGTTGTTGTTGCCAAACTTTTGAGAGAGAAAAAGAGACAGCGAGAGAGAGTGACGTGCACACGGTGGCGTATGCGTGATATACATAGCACATGCGAAGCCCAACTTTTGCCGCCCACGCCCACCCAAAAAAAAATGTTACATATGTATTTAGATACATTTTGGCAAATAGAAGCGAAAAAACGTGTTTGCCCGGCTTTTAGCTCTCTTTCTGCGTTCTCTTCAGTTATTTAAGAGAAACGAGATTCTAACTCGTGCTTATTTGCTTTTTGGGCCTGTTGGGTTTTTTTGAGTTCCACCGAGTTCACTTCAAGTTGAGACGTTTATCTGTGCGGTTGGCAGCGTGTTTTTGTTTTGTATTCGCGATTCGTACTATATATATGTACCATATAGAGAAAGAGAGCAGAAGAAAGAAAGAGGAGAATCGAATCGCTACATTTGTTAAATTTGAATTACCCGTTTCGTTATAACAAATGCCATGTGCTCGAGGCAAATCGCAAATTGAACAGAAATAAAAAATACAAACAAAAATAATAGCCAGCCAGATAGACAAAGGCTAACGTCATCGGCCATTTGAAATCTATATAAAAAAGACCAATAAGAAATCAAACAAAATCAAGCCCACAAAAAGAGGCTACACTTGAGGTGCGTGTGTGTTTGAGTGTGTGTGTGTGTGTTTGTGGAAAAAAATCTATAAAATTTTATACGAATTAAGCAGCGTTTGCCTTTCAACTCGCTGGGTTTCAGACATATGTCAAAGTTGAACTAGGGCACTACACATCTGCTTTTATAGCGTAACTCGAAGACCAAGAAGCAAATTTCTAACCACAAACCTCTTATACGTCTATATATATTTTGTATAAATCGCGATTCCGGATTTTTAGCGACGTTACGTCAGAATAATATTTCACATACCGCTCTTCTTGTTCCTCGCACATTTTCAGAGCCAAAATAGCGATTTAGCGCTAGTCAACCAGCAGGCCCAATCGCTAATCCGTCAGGCCGACGCCCGAAATCGCCAGCTGATCGAACAGGATAACGCCGGTTTGAATAGATCTTGGCAGGATCTGGTACGCAGCTTGGAGCAGCGCCGGGACAACCTGCAACAGTTGGCCGAACATTGGGACGGCTTCGAAAATAGCCTGCACGCCTGGGAGAAGGCAATTGGTCGACTGGAGGACAAGTTCCGCAATGTCGATCCGACTGTAAGATCCCGACGTCATTTGGAAGATACGAAGAATGCCATTCAGGTGAGTTAACACGTCCACCATTTAAGGTCAGCTTGGGTATTTACATACATGTTTGGATTTTACACTGAAAAATAGTCTGTTAAATATCATATCATTTGAATACAATGTCAAACATTTTGAAGCAAGAGGTTACTAGGTGTCAAAAGCAGGGAACGAAAATAACTGTTATTGTAAATTTTTCATACAAAAAAATCACGCACTTAAAAGGGTCCTAAAAATTTTTTAAATACACCACAATTTTTATTAGCCATTGTAGTTTACAAATCCGTAATGATTTTTATTTTTTGATTTTTATAATAAAACTCAAAAAATAACTGTTATTTTTTGATTTTTATGAATAACAGTTATTCCCTTGACATTTTTGAAAAAATGAAACAATTAAAAAAAACATAATACCCGTGCTTTTTATAACTTACTAAAAATTTGTTAAAAAAGGCAACCGCGCATATTTTATACCTATATTTTTTTAAAATTTTGTTTACCCACAAAATCGCCATAAATCAAGTTTGAGTTTTATTTTGATCACGACGAATAACTGTTATTTGTCAACTTTTATTATAAAACTCAAAAAATAACAGTTATTCTTTGAGTTTTACTTTACAAATCAGAAAATAACTGTTAAAGTGTGATTTTTAAAATAAAACTTATAACAGTTACGTTCCCTGGTCAAAAGAAACATTCTATTTATTTTATTTTATTTTCTTTATTTAAATGTTACTTTTGAAAGATAAACTAAGTTCCCATACATATGTTTATCAAAATGAGCCATTATTGTTATTATTGTTGTGTACCATGTGAAACTTTTTAAAGCAAGAGGTTATTAGATATCAAAAAATACATTTTATTTGGTTTATTAAAATGTTCAATTTAAAAGATAAAATAAATTCCCATACATGTTTATCAAAATGAGTTCCTACAGTTATTACATTTTTTCCACCATTTTTAAAATTTAAAGATATGAATTTTGTATTTTTAACTCATATTCGTATTCGTATCTCATTGTGTATATATTATGCGGCACCCATTCATTCATTTAGTTTCGTTATGGCAAATCCGCCCTCCCTTGGGGGCTTTTATGTTTGTCAAATATTTTTACCAATATCCATGCATAAACACAAACCGTGTCGGATATACATATCTGTATGAATATGTATATATAGCCGTGAACACCATGCCGACATCAAGTTCATGGTCACGTTGGGGAGCTTGCGCTCTCGTAGTTCGACCCGCTCTTTGGGCTCTCTCTTCTCCCCAACTTGAGCTTCTTAAAAGCTATGTAGCAGCTGAGTTTCAGAAGCAGGTCCAAAATAAATTTAATGATGTGTTTTGAATGATTAACACGGAAAGGCATTAAATCACAGTAATCAAGAGAAGAATATGGCTAGCAAAACAACATTCTAACTTTCGGTTTCTTTAAACTCTTGATTTTAGTTCACCCAGAGAACTTAGGCCCACTATTGATGAATGACCTATAAAAAGCATAGATTTTTTATTTACATATTAATAGCATTATTTTATTGCAACTTTATGAACTCACTGTAGTAAAACCTTGCCACATGATTAACTAAATAAAATTAGTAATTAGTATTTGTACTACTTATCAGCAATGATTTGAATGATTTGTTGTTGACTGAGTGAGATCATTGTTTGGGGCGATAACAGCTCTTGATGTTTATTTTCAATTTGATTACTATAATTGTACAAAGTTTCTAAAAAAAGCTAGTCCCACCTCAACTTCAATGGCAGGCTTTCAAATCACATTTCAATTGAAGCAATTTTCAGCCATAAAAGTTAGGCCCCTTCCATATCGAACTAACGATGTTGTCATACATGTGCCATATAAAGCTGAATTCACCGATAACGACAAAAAACAAAAGAAAAACCGCCAAACTTTACGATGATAAACAAACGCAAACACATAGTTAAGGTTTTAAGTTTTGTCTTTCCAAATGAGACTATAAATTTTATTTATTTTGTTGTAGCTCTCAGCTTAGATCACAAAAACTTCTTCCCAATCAAATAACCTCAAGCTCCGAAAGCTGCAAAGTCAAGTCAACAAATTTATTTTTCTCTTATTCAATGGTGACCTTCCAAAACAAAACGAAAACTGGAAATGAAACCGAAATTGAGGGAAATACAAGTTCTAGAAAAAATAGACATGTTGCAATGATGGCTATTAATGTTATTTATTCATCCATTACATGACCGCACCAAATTAAGCTTAATAGAAAAAAACTTTGTAATTAATAAATTTCGTATTTTTATAGGAACTACGTGAAGAATCAAATCAACTTAAATCATCACATAAAGAAATCGAGGCGCTCTCTAAATCCATCCTCACATTCCTTGGGGAAGTACACAAACCCTCGGCGGAGGCCATACAGGCCAAAGTGGATAAGTTAGTTGAACAGCAGGCCAAGTGAGTACCCACTGAAACCCCAATTACCTGAACTGAACCCTATATACATTGTGTTAAACTACGCGTGACTGGGGACCCAAAAAAAAAGAAAAACAAACCCAAACAGAACACAAACAAAGGTTCCGATCGAAACGTTTAATTCCGGAAATTGAATTGGCTTGCATACATTATCAAGCTGCCAAACTTGTTGCCTAATGAAAATGAATGGCAATTTATAGAATCTAACTGGTTACAGTTGAATATCTGAGAGGTTTTCATGTTTATATCATAGTCTTGGAGAAATCTTATGATGAAACGAATTTCTATAACAGTGAACGAAACCTTTTACGAGCTTTGTAACTTCATAGTAATATTTTTAATTGTAGCTATAAAGAGAAATTTTTGTTCTCGCCTTTTTCAAGCGTTTCCTAAGTCGCTTGACTAGTTCGGCCCTCGAAATGCCATCTTATTGTTATAGTTGAGTCAAAAACTGACGTCAGACCAACTGTTACGCTTCGTTGTCGGCGTTTTGTTGTGTGTGCATTACGTAAGCCGGGGATTATAGTTTTTTTTTTTTACCCAACTCATCCCTCCATTTCCCTTAAACATTAAGTTTAATTATAAGTTCTGGGAAAAACTCTTTTTTTACTGTTTGTTTTTTTTATTTTTTCCGGGGGCTATCCCGTTCTTCAAAGAACTGTGCCAAAGCTTCGGTCTTATCAAACGCGATAGGGGTCTTAGGAGGAACCAACATATATATTATTTATACGCTTCTCGCTTTTTTTTTTTGATAAGCGACACGAGGAAAGACGAATTCTTTTGCCGTGCTTTTACGGAAATGACTGATATATATTTCAATTCTGTTGTTGCCTGGCGCTAGAAAAACACGAGAAACTGTGCCAATATGCCAATTCATTTTGCTCTTCTTGTTGTTGATTGTTTTTCTTTGATTTTTTGGCGGATTTTCATTCGCTAATTTATTTATCACGTGCCATAAGCTTGGCAACATGTTGCCAGCAACATTTATTTTGGTTGATAAACCTCGAAACTCACCATACCCGCAGATCACGTAAACACTTTTTCCACTTTTTTTCGGCTTTTTCGTTGACAGCGGCCCACTTTTCTCCCTTTTGGCCTTTCACACTGACACAATTTCTGGCTAGATCACCCAGCCCCTCAGACTTTTCCCCTCATTCTACTTATTTTGTTTTATTTTTACACACAATTTGTTGTTTTTCCGACAGCACAGTCTGCTTGAAAAACGAGAGCAGCAGCTGTGGCTATAATTTGCCTCAAATTTTCCCCACAGTTTCCCCCCCAAAAAAACCAACCGCAATGTGCGTAAGTTTTCATGAGGCTTAAAACGAGTGAAATGACAAATGTTTTGACTACTGCCAGGCGATGACGGCTTCGATATTTCAAACACAAATTATATGGATAATCACGTTTCACTGTTGATTGAGTAAATAACAACCAGGAGGACGTGCTTGTATCATTAAAATTTGAATATTTGTTAGTACTCCCAGTAAACCAATATTCCATAACACTGAATAGATTCAATTATTATTTTCCTAATTAATTAGAAAAACACTTTCTAATTTAAATTTTAAACATGGCCATTATAATATATTTTCCAAAATATGACATATTTTCTGTTCTATAAATAATTAATTTCTTTTTCATTAATCACCCCGAATTTTCCCAAAAATGTGGCATTAAATTAGTTGAGGAAAAGGACCATGAAATATTTTTCCCATTCTTTTTATAAGAAAACTGTCTGTTTATGAAATAATCGCTTCCCAGTCAATTCCCGAAGGCGTCCCCCATTAACTCGCTTAAATATTCCTTCCTTTAATTGTTTTCATTTTCGAATGCGGCTGTCCCAAACAAAACGAATAAACTATGCCATCATCACGCCGAAAAGAATGATCTAATATATACCTCCAAGCGGCATGTCATCGATAATTATATAGTCACAACTGAGATATGTATATTATGTATCCCAAAATGCGACGCAAAATTCTAATGCATTTACACACTTGAGATATTAATAACAATGTTTTCGACATGCAAAAATCTAATCAGCCAAAAGACATTAAATATTGCGTAAGCCTCTTGCACTTTGTGGGGATTTAATAATTTATTTTTAACAATTTCTGTCGCTCTGCGGTGAACAGCGTGTTTATCTAGAAGGCGGCAATTAGCTCCATTAGCGAGTAAATTTGATTTTTGCTCAAATCGTATAGGGAGGTTCTCAAGTGAGATTATTATTTGCCATTGATGAAATGAAGGTGAGGGAATACGCGATAAAGCGAGGTGAGCAAAATGTAAACAAAATGCCGAAAAAATCATAAAAAATAAGTAAATAAAAGACACAAGTGAAATTAAAATTTTTAGCTTGAGTTGGGTGACTTCATCGTTGAGAAATGGCAAAATTATGAGCAAAAAAAAGGTAAACGAGAAAACCATATGTGCAAGTTATTAAAAATGGAATGATAATTGAACAATTGCTGAATCACACGAGTATGTCGTAGATTTTACAATCTTATCAGGTTTATAATAATTCATTAGGCACCCAAACAAATCCAAAACTTAATCTGTGATTTGCATATGCATTTGCATTAACAATTTGTCATTGGGGTTAAAGCAAAAAAAAAAGAGAAAATAACAAACTGACAACAACAGAAGCGAATAATAATAAAAACTTTTGCCCAAATGAGGTAATCGGGTAATAATAAGTTTGTTTTTGCCACTGTTAGCCGTTAACAGAGCGTTCAAAACGGTTTAAGTGTTCCATTCCACCGGCTTATTCTTACTCTCTCTTTTATTCTCGGACTCTCTCTCTCTCTAGTGGTAGGTTTATTACCGGCTTTTCTTATCTAAACCGGCAAAATGTCACATATTGGCTTTATCAATCAGCTTTTCCATTGAAAGGGTGGGAATGCCCTGGAAACTTGGTTGATTTTAGCCGGTTTTTCGTTTAATGTCAAGCTCTTTTGGCCATAATAATTAGTAGTATCCACCTCAGTCTCGCGTCCCCCTTTTTTATTCAGATATTATAGAGTGTGGTGAGTTTTCGTTCTTTTATTTCCGTAGAGCCTTCGTGCGCGGCGCTGTTAACGATCGACAGCCGACGAAAGCCGAAGCAAAGGGAACTGAAAAGTTTTTGGCAATTTTTGCGTGCGCCGCCAGCGCGTTGAGAATCTTTACGAATCAGTTTTTATTTAGAGTTAGTTGCAAGCGGACGTGTTTCTCACAACTGGATGGCTGGAAACTAAATGAAAGAGCAAACGAACGAAGCGACCGCAATACATATACGCATATTTTTAAATCAAATTAATTAACTAAGAAGTAGTAAAAACCAGAGAAGCAGCAAATACCGGCGAACCACAGGAAAAGAGGAAGAAAGAGAGAAAAAGAAATGTATGGCAGTGGATTTTCCTTTTGGCCTAATGGCTCTTAATTGAAAAATATCTTTTTCCTTTCCGATTTCTTCTATTTTCATGTTGAAGTTTCGAACGCCGCTTTGTGGATTACCAGGCGTATACGTAACGAGCACGAAAAATCAGCAACGAGTCAAAGAGTTAATTTTCTATTCTAAAGCATCTGCTTGGGTTTCACCGAAATTCCTCGACCGGAATTTTGAGGCAGTGGAAGTCAAGCAGAGAGCTCTCGGAAGTTCCAAAAGTTGAGCACACTTCTGCCTCCCAGAAAAAAGGAGGTCCGAAAGTTGTCGCCAATCTAGAAAAGAAGCAGCCAAAATCGCAGACAGAAGACTGAGCAGCAATTAAAAATTGTAGCTAATTGCCAGCGACTTACGCACTTGTAGTTAAAGTCGTGAAAAGCATAAGGTGATTGTTTGGGCACAACAGAAAAAGAAAACATAAAAGTAGTACTTAAATCCAAAACGATAGAGACTTCAAGACTTCACGACTTTTATTAAGTCATCGTAGAGTATAACCCCTCGAAAACCCCGTCGTCATATGCAAAACAACACCGGTCTCTGGTACTTTGTATACTCGTATACCTGCCAGGGTCGTCAGGTGTGATTGTTTTTGTTATTTATTCGATTCGGCGGAGAGTCAGAAAGTCAGAGAGAAAGAGAGAAAGAGAATATAATATGATTCGCACGCGTTTCTACTTTAAACGATGACGTAGCCAAGGCGACAGAAATAGCCACTGCCAATTGCTTATCGTCGTTTTTTGAGGGCCTGATTACATTCCTCCTGTCGCCATAATTGATCAAACTATGTTTTGCAAATGTTTCGGCAAACAACGTTTCGTATATTTTTCGTTGTATTTTTGGAGCAACACACGCCGCCATTTAGCTGCCTTTCACTTTCACTCGTGCCCGCCACGGCATTTCTAGCATATTTTGCCATTTAAATTAGAGCCATGCACTAAATTTAAATCGTTAATTTGTACAAAATGGCAGCCGACTTAAAATAGCGTAGAGGAAAAATAATTTTTCTTTTCTATTTTATTTTATTTATTTTGCCCGCTATTCAACGGCGGCTGCGGCAGCAATTCAAATCTAAACATTGAGAACTCACTAGTTCGATATTTGTTGGCTGCGAAAAATGACGCCGAAATAATTCTGGCTAGTTTATAGAGTATCGTTTATTTCCGCAGCCCAATGTTCTGTTCTCTTTTCGGCGGCTGGGCGCATTTAACAATTAAATTTGAAAATGTTTTCAGCCAACTTGTCGGCCAATTGGCCGTTAGCCAAATGTGTGTGTTGACTTGGCCTCATCTTGGGCCGCATTTCGCCTCGGCTCCTCTGTAAATATCTGTAAAGGGCAATAAACGTTCCATTAACGAATCCCTCGTCATTCCATGCCAAGTGCAATCGTTGATCACGAAAACGAACACTTGTTGTCGGCACACACGAAGTAATATTTCAAATACACTTCAAACGATTTGGGCTGCCGGGGCGTATGAGCGATATGCGTCATGTGCTGGAAATACGGAACGGAAATCAATGCGAAATTCAAATACGATCGATCGTTACTCATTGATTCATCCCGCTCACTGCAACGCCCCAATGACGTCAGCTTGTCTACGGCCAAAAAATGCAAATCAAAAAAAAAAAAATTTTAAAAAAAACATAAATAAATGGGATGAATATAAATTTAAACATGCGCCGCTTTTAAAAATACACACAAGCTAAAACTATAAAAAAAAACAAGAAATTTTAAAAGTTGTGCGTGTAGCAGTAGGGAATATTTTTATTTTTCTTCGGCGGCTTTTAACAGAAAAGTTCGCTCTTTTTGCCTCTCAATGGGATCAAGGCAATTTCGAATTATGAGCAATGTAGGAAAATCTTTTTCGAATTTCGAAAAATTGCTCAGACCCGACCAAACGTGTGCGAGCCATTTCATTTAGAAAACTCTCTTGTAGCCAAACGGCAGCATTCATTTTTCACGGAAATCTTCGCAGCCTCGAGGCCAAAGCCCAGTGGATCTTACATATATATATAGCCATATATATATGCGCAGCAAAACTTCAGAATTTTTCAGCCTTTTGTGCCAGAAGAATAACTTTTCGCCCCCCATAATACATCTCTTTATAGATAGAGGTCTTTAAAGAGATCTCTGAATTCTATCTATACCATCAGGAACCGCGTGGTTTTTACACTGTCTTCGCATAATCATATACCATTAAATAACGTGCCCCTGAGAAAACTCACCCGCTCTACTTTTTCCAGATTGAACGACACTCTGCGCGATAAGGAGCAACAGGTTAGCAAGGATCTCGAGGAGATCGAGCAAGTCTTCCGTCGCATCTCGCAGCTGCAGGACAAGCTAAACGCGCTACAGGATCAACTCCAATCGGTTCACGTCTACGACGAGCATATCTCCCAAACCGAACAGCTTCTGATCACTTTAAATAGCCAGGTGCAGCAGGCCGCCGAGGAGAGCAAATCGCTGGTGGCCCAGACAACGGCCCACTATCAGGCCAAACAGAATCAGCTGCCCAGCGACATTGCCCAGGAGTTCACCGCACTCGAGCTACTCGCCGAACGTGTCCAGGTGACAATGGAGACCAAAGAGAAGGATTTCAAGCGCGCGAAGACCGTTCGCACCGAGTATGTGGCCGGTGTGGATGAGATTCAGCGCTGGCTGCTCTCGGCCGAGGTGCAGGTGCAGGAACGAAGCCTCACACCGACACAGATGAAGGAGCTGCTGCAGCGCATCAATCACGAGATCACCGCCATCTACGAACGCTTCACCCTGGTCAAGACCAACGGTCAGCTGATCATCGAGAATTGTCGCAACAGCGAGGAGAAGACGCTGGTGCAGACGACCATCGATCAGTTGGCCGCATCGCTGGCCCAAGTTCGTGGCTGGCTGGATGAGAAGAAGCAGGCGGTGGGCGATAGTCTGGATGCATGGACGAGGTTCATGAATCTCTACCAGATCGTGATGTCGTGGGCGGCGGAGAAGCGAACCTTCATCGATCAAACGATTGAGCTGCGCACCCTGCCCGAGGCACGAAACAAACTGAACGACTATGTGACGGCTGTGAAGAGTATTAAACCGATTGTGAAGCATCTGAGCGAAATGGACAAGGAACTGGAGCACATTGGCCAGGTGACGACTGTGGGCGATCTCAAGGACAAACTGCAGGAGGCCGAGGATGCGAAGATATCCGTGGAAGCGGTGCTGCTAGAGAGGGTAAAGTGGTCTGACCTTTGGGACTCGCAACCAGTAAATAATATTATTTTTCCCCTTTTTCTTTTTTTTCTCTTTTAGAACTCCCTGCTGCAAGAGGCCTGCGAGGAATGGGACCAATGTGAACGCAAGATTAAGGATATACGCTCTTGGCACGAGAAGACGAAGCAGAGCCTGGACTCCTCGCAGCAGCAGAAGAAACCGCTGCGCGATCAGCTCGGCTTCTGTGAGAAGACCCTGGCCGATATTAATGTGCAGAAAACGAAATTGCGTCTGTCTATTGAGAAACTGGAGGTGAGTATTGGCCCCGGCGGCTGCGCTAATTCCTCCTGCTTACCATCTCATCCGCAGGTTCATTTCCGCAACGGCATGGGCGGTGATCCGCGCCTGAGCGAGAATGTCGATGATCTGGTGCGCGTGCTCGACGGCCTGGGCGAACTGGTCAAGGCCAAGTCGCAGAGCCTCGAGCAGACGCTGGCCCAGATCGATGTTTACCAGCAGCAGATGCAGACCCTGCGCCAGCGCATCATCCAGGAGGAGCAGCAGCTCCGCCTGGTGATGGCGCCCACGTACTTGCCGCACGATCGCGAGCGCGCATTAGCCGAGCAACAGGTACGTACCGTCCAAGTCTTTGCCAGATTTAGTAGACCCGTTTAGCAAAAAAAAAAAAAAAAAAAAAAGAAAACCAGCTAGCAGTTTAGTTCAGATAGCAGATACAAAGTATATTGCCAGGAGCTCTCTAGTAAAGTCGGTTATCCAATATTAAACCCCCTGATCTATATCATTTCGTCATTGCTGTGAACGATCCTTCATCGCTATGAAAAACAGTTGACAGAACAACAAAAAACAAAAGTTATTAACCCCTTACCCGAATATCTATAATATACAAAACTTGATTAATATTTGAAATGGTTTTGCCCCTTGCGCTTAAATGTGTGCGGGTAGATCTGAAGAAAACAGTTGCACGGTGGCTGCGTATTTAATTTTATTTTATTTAGTTTTTCAAGAAAAAAAGAAAAACAACGCGCATTTTTATTTTCTTATTTTTCAGTTTTATTCACTTTTTCGTTCGGCAAAATTCTATTACGTTTTTATTTTCGAATTGGTTTTATTTCATATGCTCTCACACAAATCAACATTTATCATTCACATTTCATTTTTATGTTTCCTTACGTTTAAACATTTTTCATTTCTCATCTACCAACCGTGCAGCTCTCATTCTCAAATGCCATTGCTATCATATCGCTCTCATTGGAAAAATACCCACAAAAAATTATACCTCATCAAAATCAAAGCTTGCGAGTCTCATCATTACCATTTGTCACGTGCTGCGGCCCGAAAGTATTTTTAATGCCCAGAAACAAATAAGTTCTTGTCGTCAGGGTTAGGCCACCCAGAAAATAAAAGCAAATTCCTACGCATCCAGACAATCACATGGACTATTTTTAGAGTCAAAACGTTTTCCATTGTTTTTGTTGGCCATAAACAAAATGATTATATTTAGAAGCAGGTGGCCTAGCAATAGGTTAAAATCAAGATTTCCCTTGTTGTTCAAATAGCTTGTAATTTTAATACTAAAATTTAACTTTACATTGCGAACTGCAATGTTGGCGGTAAGTGGCAAAATATAGAATTCAATTCAATTTGGTACTGTAGCTAATTTTGATAATAACTAAGGGGGCAGCTCTTGCTATGAGAACTTTTTTGATTCCCTTCACCTGACCTCACACATAAACACCCAAAAGAAAGTACAGTCATCACATGGCATTTAAATCGTCACATTTTATGGCACAACTACAACACATTAAGCTTTGGCTTAGACATTTTTAAAAAGTTTTTAATTTCGTTTAATTTTTATTTGATTTAATTATTTAGTCAGCTTAGCCAAGCAATCATTTTCTTCACAAAGCAGCTCCCTCTCCTTCTCTATATACCTTTTCTATAACTATCTGGTATTGTAAAACCGAAAGTCGGTTATCTTTTAATTATGGTTACGGTTTATAATTTGATTTGGTATTTTATTTTTTGACAATTGTATTTCTCTTTATCTTTTCTCTACGTAACTTTTGTTGAATATAAACAAAAATCCTGGTGTCGTTGCGCTGAAAAACAATCGAAAAACAAACATGCAAATTATTAAACACACTCCATAATAAACATTGTTCTTTACTAATAATATATTAAACCAATTAAAACTTATCTTTGGGCTTTGCTCGCTTGCCTGTTGCGCTACTTATAAAACTGTGACTAATCCAAATCTGCTGCATATCCGATGTAACCCCCCTTTAACGCCATCGAATAAACAACCCTTGATCACACACCCATAAACAAACACACATGGGTACTGCTTACTTCTTCTTCTTTAAAAACGAAATATCGAACATGGTTAATGGTCGCTTTTCCTGTATCTATCCCATGGCGTATAATGTGCTCGCTGTCTTAAAATTACCATAAACGAATCTCAATATATATGCTGACATCTTTTGTATTTCTTCTCTATATATCTATATATCTGCTCTCACGCCAACCATTCGAACTCTTTCAAAAAACAATAAAACATGCACCATATATACCCTATATATATAAACAATAGGCATGTCGGGAACGTGTCAAAAATCTGCATTCGAAAATAACTGCACGTAATGAGCGCATCAAGTTGTTAATACATCGCGGCACGCCGGACGATGCCAAGCTAGAGATTTAGGAAGCCGTACCCTTAACCATAAGTTAAAGCCAATCTAGAACTAGATCAAAGCCAAAGCAGCCACCCCGGCGTCTTCCGTTTGCCCTTGCTACCGCTCTCCTTCTCCCAGGGACGGTGGCCTCGGCCAAACTGTCAACTGCCGTCACTATTCTAATCAGAAAAACATGACCCATGTTTAAGAATTTACAATTATATATATATATGCTATATTTAAACAAAATAAATTAAAATATCGAATTATATTTTTAAAAACGCAAGCCCCTTTTGAGTATAATTTATGAGGGAGTTTAGGTTATTGTTAGGTAGCTTAGCTTTGAGTCCCCCCCTTTGAAACCCCTGCAATCATATCAAAGCTAACGTTTTTGGCAAATCTTCCCCCTATCTCTCCCACTCTCTCTCTCTTTCACTGTGATACGTGAACCATGATGAACAATTAGGCAATGCGAGAATCAATCGATGGCATGCAGCAAGTCTACGATGCGACCGCTCGAAAGTCCTATGCGCTGGATCCCCATTCAGTGGTGACCACTTCATCGACTGTCTCGTTGCTTATGAAGCCAACGGCGGCAGTGGGTCTAACCTATGCTGAAGTGTTGTCGGGACAAGCGAGTCCGGTAAGCAGCGGTAATGAATCGGTAACACCAAATCCCCGACCAGAACGTGACCCCTCTACAACGACGACATCGACAAGATCAACGACCCGGCAGCAACAACAAACGAACGACGATACTCAGAACCAGACAATTATTACAACAGTTACGACTACCACAACAACTTCGAGACGTACCCAAGGGGATGAAGCCCAAAGCCAGGAGCGATACGAGTTCAATGGCGGAGGCAGCACTATTCCCACAGCGATATATGAGCGCCAACAACAGGTTACACCACCCAGCGACAACACCCCAACCTCAGTTCCTAGCACAGCAACGACAACGACAACCAACCCCAACACTCAGTTCATCGAAAGCGAGCAGAAGCACCATCCTCAGGCGAAACCGGGTAAGAAACTTCAACCACCGCGGCCAGAACGTCGTGGTCGCTCGCCCAGACGACGACCTCAAGCTCCAGCTCAACCACAACCCGCAATCGAGATTCAATTGGAGCAGCAACCGCAACAACAACACCAGGAACAACTCTATTTGCCCATTGATGATCGGACTAGATCTCGTAGCCCCATGTGGGTGCCTGGATCGACTTCCTATGCCGAGGTCCTTCGAGGTCTGGAACTGGAGCGCCTTAAGGCCGAACAGCTGGCCGCCCAGGCAGTTCAAGGCCGCACGGATCTTACCATTCAGGATGTAGTGGATGCCAGTGCCGTAGTTTCTGGCAGTATTTACGTACCCGAACCCGAACCACAGCCCATCAAGGAAACGCAACAGCAACCGCAACTGGAACAATACATCACCGAAACAAGCACAGAACTGGACTATTCTTCCCCGCAGCAACAACAGTTGCAGCAACCACTGCTGCAACAGTCTCACCAACCGAAATCCCTCAGCAATTACGAAGTGCCCATGACAGCAGAAGAAATTGCAGCCACCTACTTGCAGCCCGATCCTCAATTGTATCAGACAATGTACGAAAACGTGGCCGATAGCGGTCAGTGGGGCTATGTGACAGGAGGGTCTGCGACCGAGCCACAGCAGCAGACTCAACAGAACTATTACGAGCAGATCATGCAGATGCAGTATCCCATACAGTATCAGCAGGTGGCTGTGCCACCGGCGGCGGCTACACAATATCAGCTTTTGACAGGTTACTATCAGCCGGTGGCTCAGACCGAGCCCTACTCGACGGTTTATCCCGCTGAACCGAATCAAATTTACTACAGCCAGCAAACGACTGAGTACTCCCAGGAATACCCACAGCAGCAGCAGCAGCAAATCGAACCCTTGCAGGACTACCAGCAGGAGACGGTAGAGCAGACCTATCTGCTTGATCCCTATCGGGTGGAGAACACTCTTACCTCGACCACGGGCAACAGCGTGCTGGATCGCGTTGTTACCACGTTGGCATCTATGGTTCAACAGAGTGCAACAGAGCCTTTGACCACCAGCACCCAGCAAATCCAACCGGAAGTAGTCCCAAGCGAGCCGTACTACATTGAAGAGCATGTTCACATGCTGCGACCTGTAGAACCACAGGAGTTTGAGCAGGACGAACCGCGACCAGACATTACTTTTGGTCAATTTGATGTTGATGCTATCGAAACCATACCATTGGATGAGCCACAAGCTCCGCAGTTCCCGGTCGAACCTCAGCTCCAAGTTCAATCTCAAGCTCTTACTACAACCAGCTATGTAACGGAGACCACCACCATTGTTTCCGAACAGACACAGCCAACTGTGATATTGCAGCAGACTCAGGAAGTCGTCGCAGTCCCAGAAGTCCCACAGCTTCCGGTCCCGGAAGCTCCAACAACAGTTACGGTCCACCCCCAGCCTCAGAGGCGAAGCAATAAACAGGTCCGGCCCCAGGACATCAGTACAGGCAGCACCTACGCCGAAGTCCTTTTCGGTCTCCAGCACGCAGAACATCCAGTTTTCCAGCCATCCAGCCAGCAACCGACCCCAGTGCGCCTTACGTCCTCGCCGCCCTTGCAACGCAAACCAGAACAGGCTACAATCAGTACTTCTACCTTCACTAATAAGAGCAATCAGCAATCCAGACATGTCGAGAAATCGCCAACATGGGAACGCAAGATTGACAATGTTGAGTCGCGCACATCGCGTACAAAGAGAGTGAGACACGAAACTCAACCAGAACCATTGCCCATTAGACAGAGTACTAGGAAAGATGGTAAGACAAGTAAGAAATCCCAGTCACCCGATAGAAATGGTGTAACTTTGGTGGAAAGCAAGCCAGTCACTGATGCTCCGATTTCCCATCCGGTGGTTGAAGAGACTTC